CCTGCTTCCATCTTTTGCAGAATTTCCACTTTTTACATTACCGCCAATGCAACGTGTTTACGTTTTCAACGTTGCAAGCAGTAAAATCATGAGTGCATTTCTTATCTGTAATCGTATTAAAAAGGGCTGAAATTTAAAATATTCTTAATTTATCCATAAAATATCTGGATAAAAAAAGAAGGCAGCACCTTGTGAAATAACAAAGCTTAGAAAATACAACAACGTGAATCATGAACTTGAAAGAAGAGTTGAGTTAATCGTCTGCATTTTTACCTTGATGCAGATTAGAGGGGAAAAAAACTTTTATCATGATGTCATTAATTTGGCATTTCCATTATGACTCATTATTATTCGGTAATTATGACATCATTATTCAGTATTCAGTATTATCAGTAAGTATTTTTTCTTTGATATTTCGTATTCAAGGTTGTGGTTTCCGGAACCTATAAACTGTGAATGTTTATATTTTGAGAGGCAACGCGGATTCAGGAGTTGGCGGATTTTTGGTATTTGACTGTATTGACAGGCAGGTTTGTGACGTTTTTTATACTATTGTATATTTTCTTTTCGTAAATGTAGTATGTTCCGCTTAGCTTGAATACGTAATTTGTCTTTTTCATCATCTTGCTGGATCTCTAATTTAATTTTCTTTGAAGTCCTTTTAAATTTTCTTCATTTATGTTTCCAGGCCCTTTTCTTGCCTTTCTTTGAGATTGAATGAGCTAAAGAGTATAAAACAGTAATTTTTTCCCATCTATTTCAGCATTTTTGCCTCAAAAGCTTCAGCTGCATCTTTTTCCTGTATGTAACTTATGTTAGCATTTCGATCTACAGGTGATGCTTTGGGAAAAAACTCAAAAATTGTAGTAGCGACTGGAATGCCAGAGACAAATAATTTCCTTAGATTATGTTTCTTTTTTTCCTATTCCTTTACTGCTTTTCGTCTATTTTTGCTTTTGACACCAGCAAAATCTACTGTAACAGGCTAACTTCGTAGTTTTTTCTTCTGCAAGATCTTGTGATTTTCTTCAGCTTCATTAGTAAATTCTAAAAATGCAAATAATAAGTTTTCGTTTTTTTTTGCATTTGTCTGTGTTGTTCTGTAACATCTAAAATATCAGAAGATAAAGCTTTGATTTCTTCTGTAATGATGTCACTAGGTAAATTTCCCAGGTAGAGGGTTCTAGTATCTCTTATTTCATCATCAAGAGGCTTTTGTAAAAAGCTACTTTTTCCAGTTTTCGGAGTCTTTAGCCTTCAGAGTTTTCTCTTTTTTTCTTTTTGTTGGAAGTTTCTGCATTTTTGGCAGGTGTTTTCTCGTTTGCTTGTTTAGCACATTTTTGTAAACCTTGTTTTAACTGTTTCAGTTTATTCCACAGCATCTTCAGTATTCTGCACATGTTGTTCATCATCATCAGTTTCATGATTGTCACCAGCAAATTATCTTCATCCACGTCATCATCATCCAAATCCAGTTCCAAATTGTCATTGTTATCCTTCATAACTGTTTTCTTTAACTGATTTTCATTTTCTTTCATTCCCTTAAAATATTTCATAGCAGTATCAACTTTATGTGATATGTAAGGAGTAATGATATGTTGAACTTCCTTGTGAATTTCAGAGTTCGAGATTTGTGAAAGGTCAACTTGAAGGGGTTGATTATCTTTCACATTTGCAATGTTAACAAAAATTTCATCATCATCACTGTTGCATAAATGAATACCGTATGTATGCTGAGTTTGTGGCAAAAAGTAAATTCCAATAATCGCATCAAAAGGAATCGTCATTTTTTACTACATGGATTTTAGCCAGTAAAATATGTTTCAAATTTCAATGGAGTCTTGGAAGAATCCAGTGCTTTGAACTGTGTCTCGGCCAATTCCTGAGAACATAATTCTGGAGGCATGTAATGGTGGAGAACCAATCTTGCAATTTGTTTTTTTCATTAATAAGCATGGCTTGTGACCCAGTCACAAAGTGTGGTTAACAGGGTTCCTGCAAGTTGAGTATCAACATACATAAGATGTTTGTAAAAAAAAAAAAAAAAAAAAAAATTCAGCAGAAAGTGCATTTACATTTCTGTCAGGTGTAGAATGTTTAGGATCAGATTCCATGGTAAAATTACGAGGATTTGTGGGACAGTTGGCATGAACATGACCATAATTTTTGCAGCCATAAGCAAAATTTGCCATTTGATTTATTCGGACAATTGACGCTTTTATGCCTTTTTAAACCACAAAAATAGCAAACTGGTTGTGAGTTTGATGTACGTTTATTGTCAAGTTTAACATAGTGAAGAGAATTATGAAATTTCTTCTGTATTTTGCCTCAAATGTTTTGAACTTCTAAAGAGTTTTTCATAAGTCTTCAGTTTTTCTTTAAATTCAGGAATGGATTTACAGCTGTATAAAATTATTTTGTTGTTTGATGACTCGGGAATACCATTTAAAACATACTCAATCAGAGAAGAATCATCGATAGAACATTTATGCACAAGATATATCATGGCTTAAAAATATTCTTGGAAAGTTTCAAGTGTTTCGTACAACGGGATTCCATTATTTGATGTAATTGAAGGCTATTAATTTTATCCCAAAATTCATCTAACGTCTAATTAATAGTGCTTTAATAGTTCCCAATTAGTAATTCCACAACTTGATCTTATTAAAGCTGGACCTGGTAGACATTTTTTAACAAAAATTACTTGGTGAGCAGGGTTTCTTATACGATAAAGATTAAAAATATCATCAGTGTCTGAAATAAAAGTTTCAACATTGTAATTATCACGAAAGAAAAAGGGTTTAATGCTTCCTTTTGCGACGATATCAGTGTGGGGGGGACTTTCTACCAGAAGTTCATCATCACTAATGTCAGACAAGTCAGATTTTAATAGTGAGATGTCAGTAAGATTCGTAAGGATTGTGTTAGCACACTTCTCAATATCAGTGGAAAATTCTAAGTATTATATATATATATAGCATTTAGATCCATGGATGAAAATTCTTTTATTATTTTTTGCTTTGTGTCTTCCAGGTCTTTGGGAAATCCTGAAAATTTACGTAATCGAGCACGATTATGTCTATCGCCATCTGTGCCAAAAATTAAACGACCTAAGAGCTTGATCTATTGTGTACTGGCAATTTTTAATGATCGTGCAATGTTGGGATAATCATTAAGGTTGGCCATTATATATCAGTTTCAAGAAATTATCACACAAATATTCTTAAAAAAAATTAATAACTATAATACTTAAAAACTCAAAAATTCATATGTTCAAACAAATTCTAAAAACATATCTTAAGAATAGAAAATAAAATTTCGCTTCAAGATATTATATCAAAATAGCTTTAAATAGCTTCAAATAATATTTTATAATGCTTGCTTAAGCAGAATATATGCATACAACTTAAGAAAATTGTATATGCATCAAAAGAAATGAGCAAAACAGTTTGTTGGTTAAAAATGAAAGTATTGAAGAATGAAAGAGTCGTCGAACTTGCAGCTATTTAAAATGTGCATCAAACAATTCTTTAAAATAATACTTCTAAAAAAATACTCTTCAATTAAACACTTTTTGTCAAAATTAAATACCTTTCATTTATCCAATTAAACACCCTTCATTTCCTTTTAAAATTTTTTGTCATATCAACATCAACTGAACATAAAACATCAAATAAAGTTAGCATCTAATGACTTTAGTGCTTTAAAAATGATATTACTTCATCAAAGAGGCATCAAGTGGGCATTGTCAAATAAAATTATCATCAAACAACAGCAATGTTTTCCTGAAATAATTCAAACATTGTAATACTTACAGTTTCGGTTCATCGTAGCAATGCCGACAACTGCAGCATTTTGCTTCTGTGTTCGATGAGAAGACATCAAATAATACTTTAATTACGGTATTCCACAGGATTTTTATTAGAGTCTAAGGTTAATGAAGAGAGATTTCAAAGGTTGAGCCCCCATGTAGGATGTAGTTGTATTTACGAACTATAGGAACAGCCCTAGTTGATGACAACACTAGTGACATTTAGTAATTTAATGATGAAAACACGCAAACATAATTAACACAAAAGTAACACATAAAAAGGAATAATAAGAAAAAAAGGTCTGCCCATGGCATCATGAAAACGGAATAACGTCATATTAAGTGGAATCACATCATAAAAACAATTCAGGATTCTTTTGGTTTTCCAAACTTCATCATCATTCCTGTCTAGCATCTCGTCTGCCAAAAATGGTCACACGATCTTGCTGGTGAGTGCATTGGCATTATTATAAAAAGAAGCTTATCCACATATACAGTATAAAAATTTAAATATGTAAGAAAATTTTGATAACTTTAAACTGGAACTTCTTTAATGATAAATCTCAGAACTTTTACCAATGCAGTTTTCAGGAAATAAATAACTGGTCTAATACTTTAAAAAAACAACTTTGCTAGATTTTTTTACTTATTTTGCATATATCATAGGCGAATAGAATGCTGTCATTTTTTAGAATGCCCTTAAGAAAGCTTTTGGTTTTGATAAATAGTAAAATTTTTTGGGGGATGAGCATAATGTATTTTGTATGATAATTTTTTACTTCTAATGAGTAAGAAATTCAACTTATCCCTAATTTTAGAAAGAAACATTCATTTATTACCTTACCGTTAATTTATAAGATGCAATAGAGCCCAAATAAGAAGTTACCCCTCTTTGAAGTGTGATATTTAAAGTTCTGATATAAAATTAGAAAGTGTGAGCAAATTTTTACCCCTTCCCCAAAAATAAAGTTCCAGCTTTCTTATATAATTATATGAAATAAAGGGTAGTTATTTATTTATATTAAATTCTAAAGATAGATCTTAAAAAAAAAGATCATTTTAAAATTTAAAATTTGCATTATCATTATTTTAAATTTGCCAAGTTACTTGGCTTCTTATTTTATTTTGAAGTTTGTCAAGTAAATGTATAAAGATGTCTTTATTATTATAATTGTTATTATTATTTTAGGTATCCTATAGGCAATAAAATTTTGCCTAATTTCAAATCATGGGTTGAAAATACATTTGCCATCGACTTATTAAAAGTACATTTCCCTGCTCAGGTATTTAATGCTTTTAGTATTTTCTAAACTTTCTTTATTTCTATTTCTTCATATGCAATTGACAGTTAATGTGTTATTTTATTTTTGTGAAAAGCATATATGCATGAAAATCATTTTTCAGAACTTATTCATGTATTTAAATGTTGATTATGGCCATTTATCCATTACGTCTGCTGAATATTGGTACTAATTTCTTCTGTTAAGATAATGCAGTTTTGTTATTTGTGAGCTGTTGGTTTGTCTATATCTTTCTGAATGATCATGTTGAATAATAGGAAGAAATTAACAGTTTATTGCAAATAGCACAGTAGTTAACTTGAAACAGCTCAAGCTGAATGCCGATAGAATGAATCTCTCCTTAGTGTACAAGAATCATTATCAATTGCCAGAATTACTTACAGAGTAAACTCTTGTATAGCATCTAAAACAGCAATTGCTTGTCTCAGATCTCTCAGACATATTAATACAAGACATGAGCTTCAAGAAAATTCAAGAAAGATGTGTCTCACTTAAGTTATTTTTGGATTCTGAATAATTGCTGTTTTCAGATCTACAAAATTAACTATATGTATCGAAAATAAACATACATATTAAAAATATATGGCGCTGTGAAACAAATAAATAAATAATTCAACAAAGTGGTAAAAAGAATTTATGTATTTATAGATATGGACATACAACAAATTGTAGTGTGCATGTAGGTTCATAATAAATTTCGTTCGCGCAGAACCGATGATAGCTTAGTAACATTTATTTTTACCAAAAGAAACACTTTACAGTTTCTGTAAAAATACTTGTACAGCTCTTCTCAGTATCACAGAAGTTACACTTCAAACTAAAATCAGTAGTTACACTTCAAACTACTAAGAGTGTTAAACACAGCACAATGCAAAGCACATCTAAAAAGGTGAAGCTCCTATGGAGATCTCTCAATACTTCAAACTCACTCTGAAGCATCTGAAAGCAGATACTCTTTCCAGTCTTGCATAGTTTTCATCCAGCCATTAAAAAAATCTCTTGTACCATTCATTTCTTGAAATTACTGGAAGACATATGCTGTTAAGGTTACATGTGAGGGTCGAATGTGGTTGCAATTATATAGGGATCCATTACAGGTATTCAATTACAATACCAGTTACAGATTACAGTTATACAGTTATCAGATCAATTAATTCAGAAGTCAAACAACAAAAATCAGCGTTAATTTACAAAATTTTCACAGGACTAGTTTCGATGGTTTTACCGAACCATCATCTTCAGCTGCAAAACCGCAAATGAACAAGATAGGAAATAATGTTTAGATAAGATAAAAAAGCCTGGACAAGAATAAGCAAGTGGCGCCATCTGTTGGCGAAACCAGAACTAAAACATAATTTCTCTAAAAGCCGAAGGCAAATTTGGATTGGAATTAGGATCGTTAACTAGAACAGAAAGATTTTTATGAATGTGAAATGCCTCTAGAAAATCCAGTTCTCCAATGGAAGATGTTTTTTGAATAATTTTGGCAGCAGAAAAATTGAAAGTGTGATTTTCGGACCAACAATGTTGAGCAACAGAAGACTTCTGTGTTTCCTTTTTTCTAACATATGCCTCATGTTCTTTGACGCGAAATTTTAAGGCTCTCTTAGTTTGGCCAATGTAAATTAAACCGCACTGGCAAGGAATCCTATAAATACCCCAGGAATTCATATCCGGAATGGGGTCCTTGAGTATAGAAGTTGGAATTTTATTGATGGGAGAGTAAACAACCCGAAAGTTAAAATTCTGCAAAATATGTGCAACTTTATAGCTAATTGATGGAAAGAAGGGAATGACAACAGAATTTTTATAATCTCCTAAAATAAGAGTGTGGCTTTTAGTGTGTTGAGATGAGAATTTTTTAACTGCTTGATTAATAATGTTGGGTGAAAAGCCCCTGTCAATAGCTATTGCTTTTAAATAATTTAGTTCTTCATCAAGGGCTAGTTTTGAGGAGCAAACTTGAAGAGCACGGAAAACATAGGAATAAAATGAAGCTAACTTTTGTTTAGTCGGATGACATGATTTAAAGTGTGGTGGAAGGCAAACCGATGAAGGTTTACGGTAAACTGTAGTACTGAAGTTGGATGTGTTACGTGTGACCAGAATGTCGAGAAACGGAAGAGAATTGCAAGTCTCAAGTTCAAAAGTGAACTGAATAGCAGGATCAATAGAATTCATTGTTGAAAGAACTCTATTTAAATCATCTTTATTACCTTCAAACAGGGTAAAAGTATCGTCTACGTAGCGGAACCATGCCGGGAAGTTTAAAGTTTCAAACAATTTTGATTCATAATAATGCATGTAGATATCAGCCAGGATGGGACTGAGGGGGCTTCCCATGGCTAATCCCTCAGTTTGCTTGTAATATTTATTTTGGAAAACAAAATGTGTTCTGGTCACACGTAACACATCCAACTTCAGTACTACAGTTTACCGTAAACCTTCATCGGTTTGCCTTCCACCACACTTTAAATCATGTCATCCGACTAAACAAAAGTTAGCTTCATTTTATTCCTATGTTTTCCGTGCTCTTCAAGTTTGCTCCTCAAAACTAGCCCTTGATGAAGAACTAAATTATTTAAAAGCAATAGCTATTGACAGGGGCTTTTCACCCAACATTATTAATCAAGCAGTTAAAAAATTCTCATCTCAACACACTAAAAGCCACACTCTTATTTTAGGAGATTATAAAAATTCTGTTGTCATTCCCTTCTTTCCATCAATTAGCTATAAAGTTGCACATATTTTGCAGAAATTTAACTTTCGGGTTGTTTACTCTCCCATCAATAAAATTCCAACTTCTATACTCAAGGACCCCATTCCGGATATGAATTCCTGGGGTATTTATAGGATTCCTTGCCAGTGCGGTTTAATTTACATTGGCCAAACTAAGAGAGCCTTAAAATTTCGCGTCAAAGAACATGAGGCATATGTTAGAAAAAAGGAAACACAGAAGTCTTCTGTTGCTCAACATTGTTGGTCCGAAAATCACACTTTCAATTTTTCTGCTGCCAAAATTATTCAAAAAACATCTTCCATTGGAGAACTGGATTTTTCTAGAGGCATTTCACATTCATAAAAATCTTTCTGTTCTAGTTAACGATCCTAATTCCAATCCAAATTTGCCTTCGGCTTTTAGAGAAATTATGTTTTAGTTCTGGTTTCGCCAACAGATGGCGCCACTTGCTTATTCTTGTCCAGGCTTTTTTATCTTATCTAAACATTATTTCCTATCTTGTTCATTTGCGGTTTTGCAGCTGAAGATGATGGTTCGGTAAAACCATCGAAACTAGTCCTGTGAAAATTTTGTAAATTAACGCTGATTTTTGTTGTTTGACTTCTGAATTAGTATTTATTCGGCGTGTTATTGTGTCTTAATTATCAGATCAATTGTTACCAGATGTTGCTTGCTTCATCTCTTTCAAGCATACCATGTTCTTTATGCAAGAAATATAATAGATTCACTAAAATTATTTACTTATATACAAAATTCTTAACCTTGCTCCTTTCCCAAGGACTGCACGTCCCAGCCAGTACAATCCCTAGACAGGTAGCCATACTTACAGCTAAGGAAAATCAATGCAATACTGAGCCAATAATTTCAGGGAATAACGTACAATAAATCAAGCACTGAATCAATAAATAAATGCATGAATTTACAGTTTCCTATTTGTGTACAAATAGGACCATGGTCTTAGTAGTCTTTTTTTATTATATGCACTATGAGGACTATGTACTATGGCCATAGTAAGGGCCTAGCATATCATAATCAGTGACTTTAGGCTTAGAATTTGATGACTTGCAGATCCTAATTATGACATTATTCAGACTGTTTAAGACTGTGCAAGGACCATCTCAAAGTGTAAGGACCATCCCAAGATGACTGTAGTTTAGGATAGAGCCTTTTCTATCGAATTGAATCACCTTGTCATCTTCATTGAATCAGTGTCCTGTAGCTCTCATGTCATATTGAGTTGAGTTTTCATCTTCATCATCATCAGGTTGACTCAGTCATGCAAAATTTTCTATCACTTCAAACTGGAGATTATGAATGTACTATTCAGACAATGAATGCACAACTGGAAAGTAACCAAAGATCACAAGGTGCACAACAGGAAAGTAACCAAAGATCACAAGGCAGATGAAAGCAACACCTGAAGAATATCTGGGATAGAGAACAGGTGGTAGTTTCATGGACAGCATTGTGATAAGCCAGTAAGAACAAGGGTAACATCTGGTCTTAATCCTGTTGGTTTCTGGTACCATAGAGATTATTATGGAAGGTTCGATTAAACCTTTCTACCATGCCATCTGACACAGGATGTAAAGGTGTCGCATCAGTTTTATTCAATGCCAAATACCTTACAAAGTTCCTTAATTATAGCTGAGATAAAATTCCTTCCTTGATCGTAATGTAATTGAAGAGGCATTTCAAACTTGGAAATGCAACAGTCTATCATTACATTTGTTACCATGACAGCCTCTTGACGAGGGATAGGATACACTTCAGGCCACTTTTTGAAGTAATCAGTGACAATGAGGATGTATTTGTTGCCGTCAGCAGTTTGTGGCAGACAGATATCAGAGGCGATGTGTTCAAAAGCCACTGCTATATTGTAACCTTGCAGCATTCTTTCTTCTGTCCTTCCTGACCTGCATTTCTTCTGTCCCTGATCTGCTATTTTCATAGAATTTTAATTGCAAAAATATAAAAGTTTTTAGAAGCTATTATTAATGTTTATGGAAATTATTTGACCCCTAATCCTAGTATTCAGAAGGCACCTGCCATTGGAAGAGAACATGCCAATGAAAAACTTTAAATTTGACAAAGAACCAGCCTGTGCTTGCAGGGATATTTTGAAGGAGGGAATGGAATTTTTTTTCCCTTCTAAGAAAAGGGACTTGTGTCTCTGATCCCCTTGAAATTTGATAGAATTACTGAAAATCTACATCATAGTAAATGTTTTGGGAGGGTCTGATTTTAAATTTAGTGGCTTAATCCCTTTCTTGGTGATATTTTCTTTCACTAAGCAATTTTATAATCTTCTTTACCTTATTTGGCGACTTTAAAAAATTTGTTGTTCTACAATTTGATTATATTAACTGAATTTTTGATAACAGTTTGACCATATTAATTGAATTGTTGATAACAGTTTGGTCATATTAATTGAATTGTTGATTAGAATGAGATATATATTTTCCATCTTTTCATATGCAAATGGCATGACTTCAGCAAATTGATAGCAATACCCAAATAATGACATTGACCGCTATCAGGTTAAGCAATGTATACTGTATCAAGTTTTAAGTGTTCAGATCCTGTAGTTAAAATCAAAAACTCCATACTCTGTTTTGAGATGGCAAATAAATAAAATGTGAGGTGTCAACAAAGTAATCATTTTAAATTCATAAGAAGGAAATAAGAAGTTGTAAGGATCCTAAGTTTTACTAACATTTATTTTATTTTAAATCTTTACTATCACTTCTTATTTTCTACTTCTGGCCAGAATTAAAAGCTTTAACTTATTTATGCAAATTTGTCTTGCTAACGCCAAGTACTTAAGTTGTGGCTTTTTGCCAAGCAAGAGAGAGGAAGGAGCTATTAGAAGCAGGCCGCTGACCATAGTAGTTTTACTCGTTTGCTGGTTGCCTTCAAGGCCAGAGGTTTAATCCTCTTGATAATTTTAAACGTATCGTAGTTTTAGCAGCTCTCTGTACTACATATGACTTTTTGTTAATTAACGGCCAATCTTAAAGTAGGCACTTGTATATTAATTAAAGTTAGTTTAGTTAGAGTTTTAGTTAATATTTTTATATTCTTACGTTCAGACCACAAGTGGTTGGTCTCTGTATTCCGAAGTCTGGAAATCTCTGTAAAGATAGAAAAATAAAGGGTTTCGTATACCCTTTCTGTGTGTATTGTCTACTTCAGAAATTATTGAACATAGCTTGAGTAAGCTCCCTGTTCCGAGTCAGGACAGTTCATGTTTCCAAAGCAAGTAAAGAGGAATACCAGTCCTGATAGTGGATGTAGTACAGAGAGCTGCTAAAACTATGATACGTTAAAAATTATCAAGAGGATTAAATCGCTGGCCTTGAAGGCAACCAGCAAACGAGTAAAACTACTATGGCCAGCGGCCTGCTTCTAATAACGCCTTCCTCTCTCTTGCTTGGCAAAAAGCCACAACTTAAGTACTTGGCGTTAACAAGACAAATTTGCATAAATAAGTTAAAGCTTTTAATTCTGGCCAGAAGTAGAAAATAAGAAGTGATAGTAAAGATTTAAAATAAAATAAACGTTAGTAAAACTTAGGATCCTTACATAGTAAGACAAAGAATAAACCAAAAAGTAAAATAAAACAATGAGTTATGGATCTCTCAGGTAAGATACAAGCAATGCAGTGTTGATAGTAGTTATTTTAAATGATTTTTTGTGTGACGATTATTATTTTAGGCAGAAATAAAAGATGAAGATATACCAAAGCCAATTATTAATGACAAATTTATGGAAGATTTTAAACAGCTTGGAATAGATTATTCTGTGGACTCTCAGGATCGTCTTTTCAGAGCTCATGGTTAGTTATGTGATGTATTTCAGCTTTTTCTATCCCTATCTTCTGAGTGTAAAATGATTCATTAATTGCTTTGCTTTTCTGCTTTCTTCTTCTTCTTTTTTTTTTTTTTTTTTTTTTTTCCAGGTCATACTATGAGAGAAATTTTTATTTTAAGAGAAAGTGTTTTTGAAAGAGTACCAGATATAGTAATTTGGCCTAGTAAGTTTTTGCACTGATTTCTTATTAATAAAATATGTGCTTTGTAAAAAGCTGCTTTTTGATCTGTTTAATGTATAATTTGAAGGTTTTTGGCCAATTAATTTCAAAATCAATTGTCAAAAACTGTTCAATTACTATGCTTTGTGTAGAACTTACTTTAAATTGTAATGTTATTATTTGATAAAACTTGCGGTGTGGAATTGCATAAAATACTGCTGTACCGTTAGGCATACTTAGTAATTATTTAGAATAGTCAATAAACTGTCATCCTGCATTTAATAGAATTATAACTTTGTTTGAGCTTTTTTTAATTTTTAACTTAACCAATACGGTGAAAATCGCTTAACACGAAACTGAAGGGACTGAAATATTTTTTTGTGTTAAAGGATATTGCAAATGTGTGTATATATATTCAACAAAATTAAGTTTATTAAAGTACTTTATATTTACATAGATATGTATATATGCATGCATTTAATAAAAATCAATGAAACAAAAACATCCACAAAATACAAAATTTTCAAGTTTTTTGAAAAACAAAACATTTATGGAGGTTTTGGAAAATAATCTGATATTTTCTTTTGCATTGTCTTTTTTAGCATCAAATTGTTCGATGTTGTCTATTTTTTTATTCATTTCACCATTGGAAAGTGAGTCTAAATAACTGCATATATTTTTTATGATGTTCCTCATCTCGGATGACATGAGAACAGGAGCTGCATAATTCATTTCCTTTTCATCATTGGAATCTGTATCAGTGATGTTTTTTTAGCTTTGAAGAAACTCCAAACTGTCTTTGTCTGTTATAATTGGGCTGTACGCACGTTATCATCATCTACTGCAATAATTCTACCGATAATACAGTAGAACAGTCCAATAATACAGAAACTTTCTCAAACATTTCATTAAGTGGCAGCTCAGTTTCAGTATCCTCCTTCTCCATTTCTTTTGGCGTGAACCAAAGTTACTGATTTTTACACACACTGCAATGTACTCGTCACCGAATTCCAAAGCAAACTGATGAGAGATGAGATGTTTCTGTGTGGCGTTTTTTAGGGGTGGAGGATGAAAGTAGCTTAGATAAACAAAATTGACTCGTGTCACTGGCTATTTCGAGGGTATTTCAAAGACAAATTAGCCAGATCAGATGATGAAGTCACAGTAGCAAGTTCTTGTGCGTCTCCTTCCCCTGTGTGTAGTTGCAGCGAAATAATTCTGAGCATATCTTTGTATATGTTAGCATAATCTAAGGGGAAATTTTAAATGCCAGCATTCATGGAGAAACAGTAGGAAAACATAGCAGCAATTAAATAACAATTATGTGAAGTTTTAGGCAATGGTAGAACAATCAAGTTAGCCTCCTTTCTATGAATTATGTGAAACCACCTATCTTTCATTTCACAATCCTCTTAAATCTCGCCTGCACGGCTGTTATTTTCCATATTTTGTTCATATCAAGAAGGGAAATCTTTTTGTATTAAATGAAAAAAATTACATGAAAATACATAGTAGATGGTTGGGACTGTTGTATTATTTCGTGTGAACCGATATTTCATCTTAAGCATTTTCGCATTAAACGTATTTCTGTATTTTAACTGAAATAAACTGCTGCTGGAAAGTATTTTATTTCATATGTTATCAAATTGAAATACATTTAAATATATAAGTTATAATTTCCAGTTATTTAATTTTTAATAATAGAAGTTCGACAAGAATAAAAATTTCACTTTTGAAGTAACACCTCTGTACTATCAGTAATACACAATTAACTTCTTCACAGTTTGCTTTGAAAGCACCAGAATAAAGCAAAAGTCCAAGAAAATCCAATTATTAGTACCTTTCATTCTGCATTCATTGGTTTTTGGATTAGTCCATTTCATGATTAATTTGATCTCACTTTGATAAAACAGTAAATTCCAACTGTCCTCAGGCTGTGTTTTTGAACTTATTTTTGAAATTCTTCAGACCAAGAAGTTGAATGAAAATTTTATGCTTTTTTTTTTTTTTCCCTTACACCATGTTAGTTCCATGGTTTGGTTCTTTTTTACACCACTTAAAATTATTTTTTTCGCAAAAATTATCATATTTTATACAGTCATCTGAAAATTTCTCTAATCCCAAGAAAGGTCAGATTCTGTTTTATGCAATTAATGCTATATGACTCTTTGGTATTGGAATATTCTAAATCCCCCCACCCCCCAAAAAATTCACAAAATCATTTGTTCCTTTTTGTTGGATGTTTTGTTATAGAATTTGAAGCCATAATTATCACTTCTACAAAAACGAGCAACACATAAATAGCATCTGTCACACACAAAAACTGGTACTCATCTGCTGTGTGTGGTCTTCCAAACTATTAAAAGAGAAAACACATAGTAACTAGAAAAGTAACCAAGTTAAAAAGAGAAAGCAGAATATGTGACCTTGACCAACCTGTTCCAGAAGGGTAGTGAACATTTTCTATTTTTAGGGTTGGGAACAAGGTTCAGAAAATATTATGCAGTCTACCAGACTGCACATAGCATTTAAAGGTTAACAGTGAAACCTTGTCTTAAGTTATGGTGAATCAGAAAACTAACATTGCAAAAAATGAAATGTCGAAATTATAGCTTATTTCAAAACAAGCATTATTCTAAAATTTCAAAAAGTATGTTGGGAACAATATTGTAGTGTACTACACATTCATTACATGCACTGAAAGACAAATAAAATGTTCATAGTCTCTTATGTCTATTTCTGTGGAAAAATGTTCGTCTATATGGTCAGCAACCGACTTTTATGTAAAGTGTTTCTTCCAAGCTGCTTGTGGCTCATTGTTTTTTACAAAGTGTTTGAATGAGTATAATGCATTTCTGATTGATGTGACTGCATACTAGGAAAGCTTCAGCATTACTAATTTGTGGTGTAATTGTCCATGTCTGTTTGAGAAGCATTCTTGGTACATTCAACTCAGTTCTTGTCCATTTCCATCCACAGCTCCATAAGCATAATGCACACTGCCAGTTTCTCAGTACTGAACTAATGCATCTTTCTCCTGCATTCATTGTCCTTGCTTGAACTTATTTGTCACAGTCTGACAGAACAGGATATCAAGTTTGCAAATTATCTTCTGGGACACCCTGTAGTTCTATTTAGCAGAGAAAACTGAGTGGGAAAAGAAGATCCCATGGGAAATAAATCGGGGGGGGGGGGGGAATAATCTTAAGGAAAATATAACCATAATAACATTAATGAAAATTTATTAAGGTTATTTTTTAACTTACTGGCAGTTTACTTCCTGAGTGAGGGTGAGGAAATAAATGCATACACAGAATTATTTTTACATGCCTGAAATCGCAGATTTCTCAGAAATGGTGAACTATAAATTTGTGAATTTATGTGGAGTGATACGTAATATTGTAACATGTAAATGCAAAGGAAAAAAAAAATTAAGAACACTGCATATGGTATGGTAAGTAAACTATAGCATGAAACAATAAAAGTAGTAATAATATGTTATCAGGAGAATTCAGGAGAAAAAAAAAAAGTTGAAAAGAATAACTCGAATTAGGCTAATGAATGTAATATAGAATGTGATCTCCCTGACATCTAGGCAAATATCACAATGTGTATTTATGTTGTCAATAATGTTGTTAATCACAGTTTGGGGAATTCAGTTCTGCTCTCTCCAGCAGTGCAGTCTTCATTTCATTGCATTTCTAGGAGAAGGATGTTTGTGTGCAACTCCTTTTCCAAGTTAGTCTATAAGTTCTGTATCAGGTTAAGATCAGGAGATTTTACTGGTCAACGTATTTGCTCAATATCCTCTTTTTCAAGGAACGTATCATCAAAGTTTGCTGAATGTGGACGAGCATTATCATCTGTAAATAACAAGTCAGATCCATATACACCTCTGAAAAATTTTACATAAGTTTCTAAAAACCTCATCCTAATATCTCTCGTTGGTTGCAGATCTGCCGTTGAAAAGGTATAGGGCATACATCCACCAATCATTATTTCTCCCTAAACCATCACTCCTGCTTAACTGAAACAGCCATGTTCCAAAATGTCTGAAAGAAAATTTTATATTCTTGACTCCCTCCAGATCTAAGCACATTTAGAATTAGATGCAAAACTAAACCTCATCAGTACGGGAACATGGAATCATTGTTGTTCACTCCAGTTCTAACGTTCTTTGCATGAATAGAAGTGATTCCTCATTTGCTGTGAAAATAGTGAAATACATACCCTTGGCTTTCTAGCATAAAGGCCCTTTCATTAACCCATTAAGCTTTCTGTATGTAGTGCTCCATGATACAACAATTCCAGCAGTGGCTGTATGTTCTGAAGTTAGCTGCTTAACTGTAGACTTTCTGTTGTGATGGGTAGTTATTGGCAGATATCAATCTTGAGAAACAGTTATTATTCGTTTATATTTCGTTTCATCGTGGACAGTTATTATTGTCCACACCTTCTTACAGCAGTTCCAGAATTCCAAAATTGTTTCCATTGCGTCCGTTCCATACTGACTGTCTGTTTTGAAAAATATATACGTATCTTGTTACTTCTGTAATTGTGTACTTAGCTTCTTAATAGCTGATGATTTTCCACTTCACAGATTCTTCCAAATGACAACATCGGAGTCATAACAAACCATTTTTAAACCTTACGCACTGAAATCAAATGCTGAATTGCAAAAGTTTGCTTAGTTATTCACTTGACACAAAGTGCTGGATTCAGCATCAGATGACATTAGAAACTGTTCGATTATTTTTGATTGGGTAATGCTAATTAGGCTTCTCTCATATATTCATCATAAAAATTGCTTACGTTGATTAGATATTTCATAGAATATCATTATTTTTGGGTACGTGAAGATAAATTTTGTCCTGAGTGTTTAAGGTTTCAGACTTTATTAATGAGAAAGAGTTAAGAGGTTATTGTATCAGATTGCACTAAGTCAAAATCAAATATGCAGTCTTTCATTGAAATGAAAAGACGTAAGTATAATTCCTTAGAACTTGAGATAGCTAGGGAATGGGACTATTCACCATGGCTGATTCGCCATCGGGCCACTTCGCCGTCAAGACGTATTTTTCTTTACACAAATGTATTATATCTTGCCGTATTATATTCAGTCGATTTAAATTAATACCTCTGTTTAGTTTAATAATTTAATTTAATAAATAAATAATTAATATTTTTGTTTATAGTTTTAAACAAATACACCATTATACATAACATATTAATTTTAAAAGAGTAAGGTGCTGATGATATTCCAAAGTAATTCCGTTTTCGATTCATGTGAAATTCCTGCTTGTATGAATGATTTCTCTGAACTAGCTGATTAAAATTTCAAGAAATTTTGATGAATCATGTAAATATTGTTGCTGCATAATTTTAAAATCGATAATATAACTTCTGTTGTATCAGAAGTTTAGCCCCAGTTCTCTTTGATACTGACATAATTTTCCCACTAACTATGTGTAATTTCTTTATATCTCATACTTGTGAATAACTGTACATATTAAAAGCAACCTTTTTTAAGTATACAAAAGGTAAACAGAATTATTAAATTAAATAAATTTAATACGAGTATAATACGGCAAGATAAAACACAGTCATGTAAAGAAAAATATGTCTTGACGGCGAAACGTCCCAATGCCGAAAAGGGCCACAGTGAAATGGTGACGATGAAAAGTCCTAGACCCAATATCTAAGTAACAAAAGAGAATGGAAAGGAGCAAGGGTGATCCCGAAGTGTTGTCATCTTCATTGGAACTCATGATGTACAAAGTGAATAACTGCTGTGCACATGGGAAGGGGTTATAAAAATTGATCTGAACCTACCTCAGCAATTTAATTTTCAGTTTTGAACAGTTAGAATGCCAAATTATGTATTGTTTTTATTGGAAGACAGACATTTTCAGTGATACTGAACATTGTCTTTGCAAGCAGGTGTATATTAGAATAATACTTTGAATAAATCAACCGCAAATAGCATCTTAAAAAAAAAAAAAAAAAAAAAAAAAAGGTAAGCTTTTTGAAATTTTGAAGAGAAGTAAAGTAAGAAATAAGTAAGGGAATAAAAGAACTTGGTTATTTGATCAGGACAATATTGTTTGAGTATTATTTCAATAGCTTCTCTCCAGAAATCTCAGAATCTTTCTCAGTAAGTCTATGCTAAGGATGAAAGTTGAGCAGCTGACGAAATGTCTCTTTGTTCAAAAGGATGTCTGGGTGTATGTAGGTAAAGACAGAACATTGTTGTCAAAAAAACTAGTGGGAAATTGATTCACAGACATGGATTTCCCTCTAATCTTTCTGATAGCTGTGGAGGTTATGTGTTTTCCTCTACATACCAAGATACCTTCTGAACATATGGACGCTTGATTCTTGTCCAGTAACTTAGCTAGCTTTTCAGATTAGGGAGAAATTCATGTCAGAATTAAGCCATCCAGCTAGTATAGTGATACTGACTGTAATACTGATGGGTCTGAATTTAATTCTGGAGAAGGCATGGTTTTTATAAGTGTCTGTGTGTCAAGGAGGCAATAATGAGCAGAAACTCCTCTTGAGAAATTGTGGTAGGGGAAGAAGGTTGAGAAACCCTTGGTCATCTCCCTTGTCATCTCCTATGGTGTTCTTTCTCAGAATCGCAGAAAAACTGCACAGCTAGTGCAACAGGACAATACCTGTATGGCCAATGGTGAATTTCTGATGTCTTGCCCACTTTTACCTGTACCTGTTTGTGAATTGAGAAATGTTTTGTCTGTTGTTGAGTCTAGAATGGCCAAGCATTTGTACTAGCTATTTATCTAATAGCTATTCTTCAGCAGTGATGAGACTGGAACATTGAATTTACTACACCTGGATAAAAAATTAAATTTTAAAAGGGGAAAATGTGTTTGGGATAAAAAATGAAAACTTCAGTTAAGTTGTGGATATGGGCTAACATCTTAGGGTCAAATTGTTAGTAAGAGGACATTATAAGGAACCCCAAATATTTTTAAAATGTCAGCTAATTTGTGGTGAATTATTACTTCAAAAATAAGGCCAAAGTGACTTCACCTATTTTCCAGAACTTTATTGGTGGGATTGAGGGTTATGAATGAAAAAAGAAAAATTCTACTTCTGGTGGACAGTTGCTCATTCCTGTGTTATAAATCTGATAAACATTAATCTAGTGTTCTTGCCTGTGAACATCATACTGGTCTTCAATTCATTCATCAAGTTGCAATTCATAGCTTGAAAACCTATTGCAAACAGAGAGTAGCACCTTTAAGTTTTTAAATGAGGACAGAGCCTGTCAGTATGCTGGCCTGAATGCTGTGTATTTTTCAGTGAGATGCAGAAGTGTGTGTCATCTTTCAAGTCATTTTCTCACCTATCATTAAGCTTTTTCTCAAAACCTGCCGAATACGGATTTGAGGAATATGATTTTGCGTATACATGTCATCTTGGTTGTCTCTTGGTTTTATCAATAGAATCCTGTTTTTTTTTTTTTTTTTTGACAGAGATCTCCCAGTTTCTAATTTTTAGTCTTAATAATGTGCTTTTCATCAGTGAAGTCAAATTATGCTAATAAAATAGATGTGGGACAAAAATGACATTTTAAGTATCATCGCTCAATTTATGAAACATAAATTTTGAAAATGTTGTTCCTCCACCCATAGTGATTTTTGACAATCTTTCTTAATATTTTTTTTTTTTTTTTGTCTGAATTGTTTGAATCTACAGTAGACATTTATAGAACGTGATATGAAGATTCAGCCTAATGTTAAATCAGTAAATATTTGTATTTAATTTCATTTTAGTCGGCATTTGGTACATTATTAAAATTATTCATTCAACAGTATATACATTAATTAATTTTATTTTTGCCAAGATTAAAAGGACTTTAATAAATTAAAGCCTTTCATCCCTACTCTTAGTATAAAAATGTAAAAATTTAAAAAATGAAATTAACCAAAGAGCATAAAATTTAGAATATGTAATTAAACATCAATATTTTATATCAGGAACCGTATTGTAAATATCTGAACAAACTGAATCATGCATTATAAAGCAAAAGTAAACCAATTTTGAGTTCTTTTAAAACTGTGTTGGCATATCCTGTTTTCTTCCTCAGTGTTCCATTCGATTCAAGTTAAGAGAAGGCAAGTTGTTTTTCTAAATTTCAGATATATTGAACGAAAAACAAAAGTCAGCAGGTGTTCACCATAAGTGGAATTGATTGTTATTATTCTGTTTAGTCATTTTTATTACTTTTTCTAATAGCTAACTCCATATCCTATGCTATGAATATTTTTACCATTTCAAATGCAGCAAAATCTCTCCTGGTGACTACTTGCGTAAAAGGCCACTTGGGAAAGTAACAGGTATTTTTCAGAACGTAATTAAATAACAATATCAAACATCACTACTGATAATCATGCTCTCTAATGCAGCCATGCCCATGTAAGACCAAAATCTCCATCTGTGTTGAGGAAGGTTTCATTATAATTGCTTTCCTATTATCTATTAAAATAAACATGGAATTCTTTGAAAGTTCTTTCTTATTTGTTACATTAATGTCACTAAATTAATTGATAGTATCTGATTCTAGATAAATAGTTTTAGGTAACTGATGTTAACATAAAAGATTATAATATTGTGTTTAATAATTGCAGGATGCCATGATGATGTCTTAAATATTGTTCAGTGTGCCACTGAGCACAATGTCGCAATAATACCTTTTGGTGGTAAGTAAACTTTTATATCTATACATTTTTTTAATTACTTATTTTTAGCAATGCATATTAAAATTATATTTTGATATAAAGGTAACTATGATTTCTCGAGAAATCTATGCTTTTTTCCCCTATAGATTATTGTATGTAGAAAATTTGTATGCGAATATTGTTATGAGAATTTTCATTCATTTATTAAACCTTATATTCTTACTGTTATAAAACTATTTTCCATGAGATAAATTGCTAGCATATTTCAAAGTTTTCTATTAGATATATCTTATAATATTTAAAATGAGATTTTTTAATTTAAAATTAGTGCATATTGCTAAAGAATTTTTAATTTGAATTAAGATTATAAAATTTGGTACATTGCTAATTAAAATTTCAATTAGAAATGACATTAAAAAATTTTTAACTTAGCGTCCAATTATTTTCAGTTTAAAAATAAATGCTCAAAAGGGATGGGGGGAGAAAATTCTAGAATAATTTTTTCTCTTTCATTCTTAAGATTATTCGAACTTTTATTAAAATACTGTATATCAAGCTGAAAATAAATGCAATGTAGCTTGAATAATTTCTTTCATAAATGCAAAATCTTTATTTTGTGTAAAAACTATGAAAATCTGTTAAGAAACTGAGTAAAAATGTTAGTAGACATGAGTATCATTATAAACTTGAAAACTGTATGAATTTAGCTTTATAGGATATTTATGGTATGGTCCTGGTCATAAAATGCTTTTTGCATTAGGTAATGTCATTAGAAAGGTAGGAATTATTAAAGAAAATATTTTAATAAGGTTAGTTGTAGTTGCAAATTTTCATTTTGTCAATTCTTTTTAATAATTGAAAATTTATTCTTGAATTTAAAAAAAAATTATAATCTCATTAAAATATTTAATTTCAGAGTTTATAATTTGATTAATTTTACAGGCGCATTACTTATTTATCAATCAATTAAGTAACCATTGCACTTAATAAAATACCAAGTACAGTGTGCATTGGATATCTGCTGGTTTATTTATAGTGTATCAAGGTATCTTAAATTTAACAGTCTAAAAAATTTCAAGAGTTTAAAAAAATTTCGAGTGTATAACTTTAGTTATGCTACTTAACAGTTAAACAGAATCTGAAAATGTCAAGCTTTGAGTGATTCTATGCCTCATGGTTTCATTAGGTTGTAAGGTTTATCCAAAGTTTTTAACATTTATCTTTAGCTAAAGCTACTTTCATGTCCCTCCTAATTTCAGCTTATAATTTCCATCTGGGATGTGTTTTTAGAATCGCCTTTAATGCATATGGGCGGTATGTAAGTCAAAGTTCCACTGACTTCGTGAGAGAGCCTCAGAGTTTTTGACTAGTGCGATTCCATGTTAAAACAGTTGAATCTATGTTAAAGCAGATGAATAATTTTAGCTAAAGGATATCCAACGAAATATTGAATGTTTTATTATTGTCTTCTTTTTGTTGCATATAAACTGTTTATTAAAGGTTTCAGAGTATTTTTTTTTTTTTATAAAGTTGTTTCATATAAAGTTTTTATTAAAGGTTTCAGAGTATTTTTTTTTTTTTTTAAAGAACTTTTTGGGTAAACAACTTTTTTACAAAAAAAAAAAAAAAAAAAAAAACCTCTTAAATAGGTTTTAAAAAAGATGAATAGTATGTGCAAAACAAGAAAAAGAAGTCATTTCACTAATATTTAGTAATTTATATATGTAAATAAAACTGAAAAACACAAGCATCTGAAATCAAATGTGTATGAAAATACCCAATCCATATCCTCAATGCTTTTTCTTATCATGTTACTTAATGTTTAATTTAGGCCAAACTAAGAGAGCCTTAAAATTTCGCATTAAATTAAGGAACATGAGGCAAATGTTAGAAAAAAGGAAAGACAGAAGTCTTCTGTTGCCCAACATTGTTGGTCCGAAAATCACACTTTTAATTTTTCTGCTGCCAAAACTATTCAAAAAACATCTTCCATTGAAGAACTAGATTTTCTAGAGGCATTCCACATTCAAAAAAATCTTTCTGTTCTAGTTAACGACCCTAATTCCAATCCATCTTTGCCTTCAGCCTTTAAAGAAATTATGTTTTAGTTCTGGCTTCATCAACAGTGGCTTATCTCCTGTCCAGGCTTTCTTATCTTATCTAATCATTATATCTTATTAATTTGCTTTTACAGTGAGGATGATGGTTCGGTAAAACCATCGAAACTAGTCGTGTGAAAATTTGAAAATATAACGCTGATTTTTGTTGTTTGACTTCTAAATTAGTATTTGTTTGGCATGTTATTGTATCTGCATTTAGTTTATTTAGAATAACAGATAATTAAATCCAAAAATTCTGAAATGAAAAGGAAATGTGAAGAAAGAAACTGAATACATAAAGAGAAAGAAAATTATTCATCAAAGATATGTACAGTTATTATTATGTAAATTACCTAGTTGTTTACAATAATTTCCCGTTTCTATTTCCTCACCTGAATGCAAATCACGTAGAAAGTTTTTAAATTGAGGTTTTTGGAGTGTAAAACAAGAATGTTTCTGACCTCTACTTGGTCCCTGCAGTATTTCCTGCCAGCTCTGATAATTTGTAATTATTTGCCTTTGCATTACAGCTGCCGACATTTGAGTTTGATATGACGATAGAGTTACTGAGCCAGCTTAAAATGAAATTAAGTTGTGTAGTCTTTGACCATTAATTGATATTTTTAGTTTCAATTTGACTCTTCTTGTTTAATTACATCAACATGAGCTGTACTTGATTTTGTTAGCATAAGAACATGCCTCCATGTTCTAAGTCCTTTTTAAACAAGAAGCTTATTTAAACCTTTGACTGACTTTATAGTTACGTTCAGACATAGCGATAATTTGTTTCACATCTGCCCTTGGGGTTTTGGACTACAGTATGAAGTCCGTAATCCGGACTCGTCAGTACTTCGGCGACTCCGGATTAAGGGTTTTTCCGGATTATAGATCATCAATTTAAGTATGGTAAGATGGCATGCAGAAATTATATAATTAAAAATATGAAACCATAATTTATGAAATAAAGAGCAGTTATGATCTAAAGTGTATCAAAATTTACAAAAAAAGCTTGATATTTATTTGTTTACTTTATTAAACATTACTTTCAATGTAAGTTGTTTAAGTTGCTTCGCTTTTTGTGCTAAATGCGCATACGTAAACATTAAACGTGCGTGCATGAAGCATACCAAAAAAAAAAAGTTTGTGGTTTTGAGGTCCGGATTATAGATCATTCCGGATAATGGACTTCTGGATTACAGACTTTGTACTGTATTTAACTTTTACCAGACCAAATACCGCATAGATACATCATAGATCTCATAGATACATTGTGGAGAAGTTGACAGGTTAGAAGATAAAACATGCAGAAACTAGTGAGAGGACATTCTTTTGCATATTGAGACAAATTTCTAATTGTTAGGAAAGATGCTTAAAGAGAAGGAAATCGATATAAATTAACCAAAATGTCTGGAAAGGCTTCAAATTAAAAAGACGCATAAATATTTTTTTGAGTTGTTACGAAACATAAATGTTTTTTAGCTATTAATGTGTAATTATCCTAATATCGTTTTAGAATCAGTATCATAAATGACAGATATTTTAAACTGTGAAATTTCATTAGATTGTGATTTTAATAGGGCTTTTTTAACAAATATTGTTAAAAAATAAATAAAATTTAATAGTGGCCATGTAAATCCATAATGACTAAGATTATCTAATACCTAATTTAACCACTTATAACTAACTTCTTACCCTTAAAAATTATCTCTGCATATTAGAGTTACTGCTTTTCATTAACCCTTACCGTGGTCACAATATAAAAATGTAAAATTCATGTAAAACTTATTCTTCGCATCTAGTGAGACTTAAAATAATGAAAAACAACTTATCATCTCTGGCACTTATTAGAACCTTAAGGTATATTATCTGAGTCACAACCCCTGGAACTGTACATGAAACTACTACACAAATTGCATCAGACAGAGCCCAGCTAACTTTCAGAACTTGCTAACCGTGCCTACATCATGCCTTTCAGGTTTGTTCTGATCAGCAGGTCTCTAGGCAACGGTGACAACAGCCAGTCTTTTGTTATAAGTCATTCTGAATATTATCTTACTTCTCATTTTAACCTATTCCACTTGGCATAAAATCTGCTTACTATTTACTAAACCTCTAGACTGAGTGAGTATGTGACAAAATGAGACATAAAATAATAATAAAAAATAACCATAAAGCTAACTGTTAGTGAAACATAAATATCACTTATCTTCTCTCAAATATGTCCAGTTATTATAAGTGTAAAATATTTAATGCTGCTTGATAACTTTCATAAAGTTTATTTTAGTCTCAAACTTAATAATAATGCTAATTAAGTTATGTTTAATAATAATGCATCCTACTTAGGGATCTATATTTTATTTTTAGGATGGCATTACAAAAGTGAAGTTCAGGCATAGATAATATTTTTAATTGAATTTATTCAGTTCCCATTTGTTCACAGGTCCTTAATTTTTTCAATAATGATCCTTAAAAGTCCTTAATTTCCGTGCGCAGAAATGTGTATGAACCCTGTTATATGATAAAAGATTTTGATTGAAGGAAAAATAAATTCCATATTATTTGATGAAAGCAAATGGTTAGGATTTTATCAAGTCTGATGACGATGATGCAATTGAAAAGCAATGTTTCACTGATAAAAGACTTAAATTAGGTATTATTCATGCAGTATATTTTGTAAAGCAGTGAAATTTTAGACCTGTGTTAGATGATTTAGATTTAAATTGGGCAAATAATGTGAAAAAGAAAATATACGAGGGTTGGGGCAAAAGTCATGGCAACTATTTTTCTTGTAGATATGTGAACGGATAACAAAACGCATATGTTTTGTGTGGACGTTCTGCAGGCATAGTGTATATGCAGTACAGCTGATGGGTCTGTGGTAGGGAGGGCTCTGAAATCAGTCAGTTGGTGAGTGCCGTGCGAGATGGAAGTAACCGTGTTGAGCAGGGCGCTTACATCAAAATAGCCGTTCTCCAAGGGAGAAATGCGATGGAATGTCACAGTGAATTAGTAGAAGCCCTTGGGAATAATGCCCTACCATATCGTACAGTAGCACAGTGGGTAGGAAAGTTTCAGCAAGGACGTGTGTCAACCAGTGATGAGCAACGCTTGGGATGACCGGTGAGTGTGCGGATTGATTTGGCACGTGCTGTCATCGAGCACCTCGTGGATGAAGACAGACAATGGACATTACTGGAGTTAGGGCAAGTGGCATCGAGAAACGCACCGTCCACAGGATACTGCGTAATGAGCTAGCGTCAGAATCCTTCTCCAGTCAAATTGATGGTGATCATCGCGTATGATGTCAGGGGTGTCATTGTTCGCCACTTTGTTCCTCATGGCAGAACAGTGGCCACACAGTACTACAGGGACTTCCTGGTGCGACAGGTACGACATGGCATTCGGGATAAACATCCAGATTTTGTGGACAGTCCAATAATTCTGCACAACAATGCAAGACCACATAAAGCAGAGTGTATACGGCAGCTACTCTGACGTTGGGGTTGGGAAGAATTGGAGCACCCACTGTACTTACTCTTCTGACCTTTTGCCCTGTGATTTTGATCTCATTCCCAAGATTAAGGAACCAATACGTGGTAGGCGGTTTGCAACACGAGAGGACATTGCTAATGCTGTGCGCCAACAGATGACCCGATTCACACATTGTGTGGCAAATGCTGAGGTTGATGGTATTCAGTGCCTCCCACATCGTTGGCAGCATGTGGTGACAGTAGCATTGAAGGTCTTTAGTCCCAGGTTTGTCATGTCAACTTTATGTGTATTGTGTTATCATTCTTTTGCACGGTGAAGGCTATATTGCACTCTACACTACTGTAACAAATTCGTGTGTTACGATATTTCAGTGCTATTCATTGTCCACACATGTAGTTAAAACCTTGTTCTTTCGTCTGTATATGTCACATTTTCCAACCGGACTGGTATCTTCAAGAAAAAAAATAGTTGCCATGACTTTTGCCCCAACCTATGTACATTTCTTTTAGGGAATAAATTTCTGTAAGAAGTAAAAAATTATTAAAAGTTTTAACTATATTGCAGTGCAAATACAAAATTCAGCTACCTTCTAAAATGACCCTAAACTCAAACTTTAAATAGATTAATAAATATGTTTGTTTACTAAAATGTCAAATTCTATTGATAAATGAATGCAATTTACATTATAATTATTTTTAGCAATAATATTGACATTCTTTCCCTTATATTGCTGAATTGTAATCCAAACATTGATATATTGAATAAAAATATGTGTGTACTTTCTGCCTTAAAATGTGAGAAGCAGACTTCTGTAATTTGCATGTATGATTTATAGTTTTAAAGTTCATTCAGGCCTCTATTTATAAACTTAACTATTTTTCATTATTGAGTAATTTTGTTCTATTTTCAGTGACAATAAACACAATTTTAGTGTAACATACTTTAAACATTTTATGTTGGAATACATGTCTCAGTTTCTTCTCTCTCTGTGTACAGGTTCACAATAAATAGAATTAATGAATTGATACAGAATTTATGATAGCTTGATAAAATTTATTTTACCAAAAGCAACACATCACAGTTCTGAAACTTTTCACAAAAATACTTATATAGCTCTTTATAGTATCACAGAATGCATCTAAAGAACAAAGCTCAGATATCTCAGTGCCCTGAACTAAACAACTTAGAGCAGGTGTTCTCTCTAGTCTTGTATAGTTTTCACCCATCTGCTGAGAAATCTCTTGTAAATTCCATTGACGACACAAATTATTCATCAAAGTCTGCCAACTTGCCGATATCCTGCCAATTTAGCAAGATAGTCATTTACTCAATGTTGAATATACTTGCCTGTGTATTCTTATTCATCCATCATAGCTTAAGCAGGCTGTTACTATGCTTCATTTTTGCACTTTGTAAAAAGGCTATTGTCTGTTTATTTGTACTATTTTGTTAGGCACTTGAATTTTACCGAAAGCTCTATTTAAAACACTATGAGTACAAACTTCCTGCAGTTAATTATTCTTTACTATCTTTTAATACATGCCTTTTTTAATTGTAGAACCCATAAGTTTGAAAATAATTCACTGCTTGTTGTTCTGTAGAAGACAGATCCTAAATTTTAATACTTCTTTTAAAATAAAAAAAACCATTTTGTCATTTTTATTTTCTGCCCAATGTGCTGTAAATGTATTCTTTTTGCCCATTTTATTTTCTGCATATTTATATGAAACATGAATTTAAATTTTAGGTGGAACCAGTGTATCTGGTGGTGTTGAGTGTCCAGCTCATGAAAAAAGAATGATAATTTCGCTTGATACATCTCAAATGGTAAATTATATCTGAACATTAATATGTATCTTTCATCTGCTTTATTACATCTCAAATTACATTTATTTATTACATCTCAAATGGTAAATTCTACCTCAGTATTAATATATATATTTCATCTGTTATCACAAATAAGTTCTTTTAGATTTTTTATTATTGATAAATATTTTTATATGTTAATAGTACAAATGCCATACACTTCTGTGTATAGGTCGAAACTTTTTGGGACTATTTTGAAAGCTAAATTACAGGGTTGGCTTACATTACAGATCCACTAATTGCAAAAAATATAGGTACTGTTCCATTAGCTGGGCACAAATGATAAATCACTAAATGTTGCACTTAAGTCTTAATTTCTTAAGTTTATGAAAAAAGTAATTTTAAATGAAATGAATTAATCATTTTATGAAAATGAGTTATTTTATTTGCAAAACTGTTTATAATCCAATGAAAGATTTGATGTTGGCAAAATTTTCGCCTAGCTTTCTCCACTGTCGAACTTGTTTTTAATTTATGGAGAATTCAGAGCAGCCATACTATTGTTAGAATTTTTAGCAAATGGAATCTATAAGAATTTTTCTTACCACTCATCTTTCAGACAAAAAATAAAATGGCACAGATTATAAGACTGGCACATATACCACAGATCTTATACAGCACTACAAATGATGCTTTGTGCTGTATTCTGATGTTCAGCTGGAAACTATTCCTGCTCTTACCAGATCTTCAGAAAGTCCCATTTAGGGCCTTACTTTTGGAAATTCCTTAGTTGAGGTTCTCAGCAAGGGACTTGAAAAAAGTGCACTCTGGGTTTATGTACAGATTTGGCTCATATTTAAAATATTTCATAGTTTTGGTTAGGCATGAAAATTATTAATCTGAAACAAATTTCTGTTGGACTTATGATCTATTTTTATTAATTTATAAAACTTTTTTAATATTTTGAATGTAGTTTTAATAGGTTAAGTAGCCCTCTGAAATAACATTCTGTAAAGACAATCTGATGTGGCAAAGCATATCTCCACTGCACAAGATGTTTATCAAAAAATTTTATGTTTAATAAGATGTAGTGTATTTTGTATACTTTGAGTGTCAAAATTTCACTCCCCTCGTATTATTTTCCAGTAAATTAATTGAGAATTTTATCTCCAATTTTTTTATTTTACAATGATATTCCACAAGATAAAATAAAAATTTCAGTGTTTTTAAGAGATATATAGAATATTCAAAATTTAAGCAATATATATATTTGATACTAAATTTAAATTCTAACAAATATGTATAAAAGTAAAAAAGCAAATTTAAAAAAGGCCAAAATAATTTAAAATAATTTTAAAATATGCAAACATGTAAAAGATTTAATTCTCGAACTAATCTACAATATCATTTAAATTCAGAAGCATAAGCAAATCAAGTGCAAAATCTATCCATGAAAATAAATCTACTAATTTAATAAATTAAAATTAAATTAACATTTTTTTTTTAAAAATGCATATTGAATGATTTTATAGTAGGCAGGAGACTTATCAAGGAGAAGTTGCCCCCAAACCTAACTCTCCAATCATTCAAATCATGTTTCGTCATTCATGCTGGCAAGAGTAAAAGTCAAAACCAAAAGTAATTCCAATAAAGCGGTATCCTTAGAAATTTACATTTAAGTATTAACATTTAAGAATTAAAGTTCAAAAAGGAAAACACTAATTAAGTCCCTAGAGAAACAAGCAAGTAAAGTCAAGGATTAAACTTTTTCTTAAAAAATTAAATTTTTTAAAAATTAATTTTTTTATAAAAAATAAAAAAAATCTATGTATTTTAGAAATCCTTGTCTACAGAAACTTCCCCTACACGAATATGCATATCAATAAAAAGAAACTATAAAAGAACTATACATAATCCATATAAACCAATAAGAAATAAGAAACAAAAAGAAACAAAAGAAACTAATTCACAATTTTTAAAATAAATATATATTTAAAAAAAATAATTTCATATTTAGAAAATACTTAGATACTACATAAAAAATTTAAAAAAAAAAAATACTTAAAGCAAGTAAATAGTAAGTTTTAACTTACCTACTATATGAGTGTTGGGGTCTGCAAAAGTGTTGTGAAAGTGAAGTAAGTGTGTTCTTCAAATTATATAGATGGCGCTTATGTAGGTAAAGTTGAGTGTCAAGCTGCTATTTTTGTTATAGTAAAAATTTTTTTGTAAATATTAATATTAAATTAAATTAAATTAAAAATCCTAAAGGTAGTAATATCAATTATTTAGGGAGTTAAGTAACTGAGCTAATCAAGAGATGCATTTTTGCTTGAAGGAAATTAAAGTGAAGTGGTATGTGAAAAAAATGTAAAATGTTTGTAAATTGAAATGTGTGTTCTGTTGAAAAATTGTTAAAAAAATTTAAGTGAAAGATATTTTTTGTGAAAATTGCAAAAAATTAAAGTAATTAAGAAAAACTGAAATGTTTTAATATTAAAGTTTTAAAGTAAAATTTCCCAAATTTTTTTTTTGAAATGAAGTCTTTAAAAAACCTCTAAAAATTCCCAGAAATTTCTCAAAAATTCCTTTAAGAAGTTAAATAAAACTTAAATTTGATGAAAGAAAACATTAAAAGTTTAATGAACTTGATTTAATTGGTATATCAAAACTTAACTAAATACTGGCTAAAGTATGGAAAATTAGAAGAAGATTAAAATCTTCACTCAATTCGGGCTATAATTGAGACTTTTGAAAAGAGTTGGCCCTTTATTAGTAAAAGGAAAGAATCCAGTATTGATTAAATATACATATTTACAAAATATTTACAATAAAAAATTTACAATAATTTTCTACTCTTTTTTATATCCTTCATTACCCTCCAGTTAAGGTTTAAGGTAATGTTTATCATATCCAAAAGAGCCAAAAAAAAAAATTATAAAGTAAAGTCAAGGCCTGCCCTTTTTAATATATAAATTAATAAATTTTTTGGTGGTACTTGGTTATCAACTTGTACATTAATTAATTTTATGATTTCTTCCTTTAAAATCGTCATTTTCAGTACATATATTTTTATTCTGATAATTTGGCTATGAAATGCGTTTTTTCTATTACTTTTCTAGAGATATTAGAGTTCCAATTAATTAGTTAATAGTAAGAAAATGGAAATTCCTTCTTTTATCAAATAATTTAATTTTGTTGTGTTTAATAATTTGCAGGTCTAGGATTTTCAATAGTATCTTGATTCGTATTCGTTTTATTAAGTGTTAAACTATTTGGGGTAAATTTTGAATTTCTCAAAAGTAGAATTATTATTGAAAGTTATAATATCATCTATGTATCTAAAAGTATGAGCAAATAGCTTTAATTCATTTTTATTTAAACTGAGTTGGAATTTATATATTCAAATGTAAAAAGAAATAGGTTACAAATTTGTGTAGAATAACTGTTTGCTTCCATAGGAATTCCTCTAACTTGCTGAAAGATCTTATTATTGTATTTAATGTAGTTATTAAATAATGCACAATTCAGATAAGTATTCCATCTTTCAATACAAAGGATGTCAAGTATGTCAGGAAAAAGTTGTGGGAGTGTTGCATTAAACTAGTAAAAGTTCTTCTTCTAATGGTAGAGAAGTATAAAGGTTTTCAAAGTCATGGCAGTTAATGTTCTTGATTGTTAAACTTTTAAAACTGCTGAGAACTGGAGCATTATTATAAATAATCCAACTATAATTGTGTTGTTTATTAACGAGATATTGGATTAATTTACAGATTTTTTTAAGTATAATTGCAAATATGTAATCTATATTCTTTTTATAATTATTTGTACCATTAGCAATAAATCTAAATTTGAGTGTTGATTTATGAAATTTTGGGAGAGCATATAGATTTGCTAATCTCTTGTAGTTAGATGGTTGTGAAATTTGCAGTTTCTTATGAAATGCTTTTAGCTTTTTTGCAATAACATTTTCTTGTAGATTGGTGAGTTTGTAAGTAATGGCATTATTGAGTTCAGTATTAATTAATGAGACATAAAAAAATTTTCATATTATGCTAAAGTTATTATTGGCTGTGTCAATTTTGGTAATTAGGAACTTTTGTTTTAAATCCTGTAAAAGAGGTATGAGAATATTCCACTGTAAATGGCTATTAAATTCAATTCTTCGAATTTTTTGCTTGAATTCTTCTAATACTGCATGTTTCCATGAAATAAAGGTAGAATTTGGAATATTTAATTTGAAACTAGTTTTAACTATAAATTCGTCTATATTTTTTACGAAACTTTTAAAACTGTGATGTTTGTTAATTTTTAGTACTGGTCTAATTTGGTATTTGGTACCTTTTTCCATTAAATTCTTAAATGTGGTTTTGAACTATTGCTAAATTGCCTGTTTTTTGTTATAATCTTGAAATGTTGATGAAATTGATCTATGAAATCTTTGTATTGAAGCTCTTTACAGTATCAATGGGCTGTAGTAGCTAATTCATGGTGGTTAATTAGCAGTTTACTAAGAGGTTTTTGATACTTGAAAGCTGGTGAGATCTGTACTTAGGTAGCTGGAAAAAGTTGTTGACTTTTTCTGAAAATTTTGCTAAACTGAATATGATCATTGTTAAGATGAAGGAAATTGATTTTGCAGTAATATTTATTGTATTTGTTATTTGTAGAGAACTTATAATTACAAAAGTCAATGATAAGGTCTTTGATAATACTGTGCCCAGTAAAATGCTGTTTTACAAATTTTATTAGTAATTTTAAGAAATGTGTGCTTACAAGTATGCAACCAAGTAATTATATTTTTAGTGAAATTATCAGTAAGAAAGTAATTATTTATATTATCGTTTAACTTTTTTGTATCTATTATTTTGAAAGAAGTTTATTTTTATGTTTATTTACCTGCTCTGGTTCCTCGTAATGTTTTTTTACTGAATAATTTAAAATGGCTGTAAGTTGGAATTTCAGAATTTAATTTAATGTGTGTTGGTTGAATGTATTGAGTCCATAAGGGTAAAGTGTTTTGAATTTAAGCATGTAGAGTGACTCTTTAAATAATCTAACTTTGTATTCAGGTACAGTGTCCAAAATTTGAATATTAATTTTTTTGAAATCATGTATTTGAAAATGTTCTAATTCAGCTGTATTAAGTGTGCTAAAATTAGTAGTTGCAAATTTTTTAATGTGGGCTCTGTGGTTGTTAATTCTAATATTAAGACTATTTTTGGTTTGTCCAACATATTTAAGATTTCATGTGTTACAAGTGATGAGATAAATGCAATTATAAGTTTTTCAAAATGGGAGTTGTTTAGTGGCTGTGATATTAAAAGGCATATTGCTAACTTTACAAGTAAGTCATTTGCTAGAATGACATTTATGGAAATTTATGTGATTGATACGAGCCGTTATAAAAGTAAAGAGGGAGCTAACCTACAATACAGTGAATTTTTAAAGTAAAAATTCTTAACTCAATTTTTGGACAGAAAAATTTTAAAAAACTGGGAATTTAAATGTTATTGCTAATTAATTCACTAAATTAATAAAAAATGAACTATTGTATTAAACTATTTAAGTTAATTAAACTAAATTATTTAGAGAGCGAGTTTAAAATAAAAACAAAACTATTAGAAAAAGAAAAAGAAAGTTGTTTTTAATAAAAGAGAAACAAATCAGGTAATTAGAGCTAAAGCTGCTAAGTACAAACAAAATTGTTTCATAAGAATAAATTGAGTTTAATTTAAAAAATTAAATTTAAATACATATTTAATTAAATATTTGATACTATATATATTTCTTCATTATGTTTATAATTTCTTATTGCAATAAAACTGTGTACATAAATGCTGTAGTATGAAATTTTAATTCATTTGCTTCTGAATATTTGAGAATAAAATATTTGTGAATATCTTATTTGTATAGATGTAGTATATATAAACTGAGATTTGGATAGGTGTCTATCTAAATTGCATTATGTCTTTTAATTATCACTAAGAAATTTTATAATGTTATTTTTAATGCTGAACTCAACAGCAGCAGTAAATTGTTCCACGTACCATTTTTCATAAAGTTGATTTTTTAATCACACTAAATAGGCTAAGATTTACATATTATTTCTAACATGCAATCTAAATTTGTTTTTAAATTTATAAAATTCTAAATTTCAAAAAACGTACAATTTGAAGTTCTGTATAGCACATATTGACATTTATTTCATTATCACTGTATTGTTTTGAAGAAAACAAACTAAATGCTTAAAATACAGCATAATTAATATTCATGCTTTATAGATTGAAATACCAGTATCCATACATTCTGATCTCTGGTATTAAGGTTCTATGTAAGTTTCATTTTTCTCATTCATTTAATCTAGGTAAGCATTTCTCAAATTTTTTCCAGCTGGGAACCACTTTTATAAGTCAGAATGTTTTGCAGACCACCTTATTCTTATTCCCTCAGAAAGCAATATTTTAGAATATGTTACTGCCGATATACTTATATTTAAAAAACACATTTGATTAAAATATATTTAATTTTATATTGATATTAATCAATTAAGTTAATAGGAGAAAGTTATATTTAATAATTCAAGGCTATTTGAATTTCTATAACATTTATCTCATTAATTAAGAATTAATACTCCCATTAATGAGATGGATTAGCCTGCTGATTCTTGCATAGCTGTTGATGTTTGGATTCATGCTGGTAAACTTAACTCTGAGATTGGCAAATGCTTTGTTTTTATTGGAGTTATTGGTAAATGTAGGCGCATTTAAATTTAAAAGACCAACACAAATGAACTGTCTCATTGAATTTGTCTCTTTTCCCGACTTGTTTCAGTTGTCCAAGCCACAAAAGCATTAAATGTCGAAATTAGTAATACTAACTAGAGACTAAAAATTTATACTGATATTCAACTAAGAAACATGTAAAATGATAATATACAAGTAAAATCCTAAGTAGGAATTTGTCTATCAAGTTAAACTATTTAAAAAAAAAAATAATGCAAAAGAAAAAATTAAAAAAAAAAAAAAAAAAAAAAAATTAAATAAATAAAAAGGATAACTCAGACATGAAAGTTCATTTGATTATCCTGCGTATAGGCAAAAAAGGGCCTGGATTGAATGTGCGAATTAATAAACTTTTGCTAAAAAAGTTAAAGTTAAAACCTTTGAAAGTAAAAATGGAGGAGAGCAAATTTACTAAAAAATATTTTGATGGTAAAACCAAAGAATGACAAAATTCATACCTGGTAGTTGACGCTAGCTTCGGCTGCAATTATGCTGTTAAAAATCCAGATGTGTAGAGGTTGCCATGTTTGAAAGCAACCCGATGGCATGGTAACCAGAAAACTGAAATAATCAATTTCAATGAATGGCAGAGCATTCAAATCAGAAAAAAGGTTTTTGTAATCTTGTTGCTATGCCAATGATGGCTTCCGGTAGAAAGGGGTGTCCAGTGGAGGTCGAAACAGGAAGCAATGAGTCACAAGATGGCGTCGTTTTAAGTAGATTATTCTAAAAAAGAACGTTAAAAATGGCTACATGTTGATATTTGCAGAAGCTGGCCAGAAAGTAGTGGAAGTGGAAATTTGTTTGTTAGTGAGAAAGTCATCATTCGTCACGCAATCGAGCTATCAAAATGTCTTAATGAAACAAAAAAGGCTTTAAAAAATATTTATACATAGGATAGTTGGCCAGTAAATTAAGAGAGTAGTTAAATATATAAAAAAGTAATTTACTGAACTTTAAAGCTATACAATATATATAGATATATATATATTAAATTTTCAGCATTTAGCTTTCATGGTAATCTCCATATATGACACAAATACAAAGCCAATTTTTTGAAGGCCATCCATATGTGTAAAAATAATACTTTGCCAAAAAACTACTAATTAATAATTCAAAACATTATAATTTGTTATTAAAGAGCATTTAAAAAATTTATGCATTAAGAGCAAATTTAAATATTTTAACTTCATACTTTCATGTATACACATCCATGATGAAATGGCTAAAAGTCAAATATGTTAGATTATATAGGAGATTTGCATTAAATTTTTACATTTTTGACATAATTGTAAACCCATTTCCCTTGAGGAAATTTCTCTTAAAGGCCTTTTTCCACTTAATAAAAAGCCATTGAGTACTATAGTGTAACTAAATAACTAGACAACTAATCAGAGGATTTTCTTGGCTTGCTATATTAAATAAAAAATAATAATAATAATAAAGCATAATTTTTGTATGAGTAAAAATCAACCCTTTATTTATGATTGTTATAATTAATTTAAAAGAAAAAATCTGAAAGGTTTCAGATTTTAAATTACGTTCAGAGGGGCTTTTTTTTTAACATTTCTGTATGTTATCTTTATTTATTAAATATCACGTTCTTCGCACATAAACCAAAAAATTCAGTTCAAGAGCAATATGGCAAAATAGTTTTAAATTGAGCATATCTTTAGAATTTCCGATACAGAGTCGCGAGCGATGGAGGTAAAAATGTTTTTTCTGTACAATGTTGCCATTGCTCTCTTTGAAATTCTTGAGTTTGTTAATCAAAAATTCGTTAAAGTTTTACAAAATATGAAATTGATAATAAAACAAATTCCAAATTTGGGCTTCTACATGCCCATATTCGCAGTAGGATTACGTCATTCAAAATTTGATGGCTCTATGTACCGTTGTATTATAATATGAGAAACATACATGCATTTATGCAGGTTCTTCATTATTTAATTTCTTCAAATATAATACAGGCCGATAATATTTGGTGGCAACAGTTTGAAAAGTGAAACGGACATTCAGAGTGATTCGGCGCAAAATCGCGAAGTGAAAGCAATAGTCCCTCAGGGACAAAGCCCCTTTGTACTAATCATATTTAAGCACATACTAATAAAAAATTATTATTATTGCATTATATGTACTTTCTTTTTGTGTTGCAGTAAAAAATCAGCATTTTTCAGTATTTTGAAAACAGTAATTCAGTAAACAGTAATGTTTGAATTGTGTCAATTTTAAGGATGAAAAGGTATAATTTCACTGAAAATTGATTTTTATACATAATATCATAGTCATCCTCATTTTTTTCCCCTTCTCTTTCCTGCTTATAGAATAGAATTTTATGGGTAAACAAAGATAATAATACAGCTCTGGTGGAAGCTGGTATTATTGGACAAGATTTAGAACGAGAAGTATGTGGTTTTTCTTTGAGAAGTATTTAAAATTTCAAACAAAATTTAAATTGTGAGAAATTTCAGATTTTGTTTTAAAGTTTTGTGTGTCTGTAATTTAAATTGTCATTTCTTGTGCTGCATTTCTTATGTCATTTATGTGTCTGTAATTTAAATTGTCATTTCTTATGCTGCATTTCTTATGTCATTTGTGTGTCTGTAATTTAAATTGCCTATTTCACACGTATTAAATTTAATGAATTCATATTTATGATGTTTGCCTCATAGCTACAGTTTCCTTGTAACTTTGTAAATGTATCTTAGGTTTTCTGCTTGTTGTAATTTTTAAAAATTCTGTCCATACAAAGAGAATAAAAATCGTTCCCTGGCAGTTAAAGCAAGCTGTGGAAAACTATAACCAGAAAAAAAAAAATTTGGTTATGTAGATAGTAGTAAAAAGTAGGAAATATTTCAGTTCTTCTGTTCATTTCCTTAAATAAATGGGAAAAGAACTATGTAAACTATGTAATACATTTGTGTAAAACTATGTAAATAAATTTAAAAGATCAAGAAAAATGTACTGATGCTTTGACTAGAAAGCTGGAACTAATTAAGATTTATTTTTAAATGGCATATGAAAATTAAAACCATTGTTTCAAAATGTAATTGTAAAATTAAATATGCTATTAAAATGTATCATTTAAAAAATTTGGAATTTAGTACATACAGGTATGTTTAAATATGTATTGAAAATTTATTTTAGAAGTTTTTTATGACTACAGCTTGAGAACATGTATTAATGAGCCATTAATTTATTTTTGCAAGCTTATAAGGTATTTCTCCTACCTTCTTAGCATGCCTCCATGGTGTAATGGTCAGCATGCTCGGCGCATGTTCGAGAGGTCAGTGGTTTGAGTCTCAGCGAAGGCATTGCTCATTTTTCAAATCCCCTGCTTCCAAATAACCTAATGTCTCTACAATATTTAGTTTCCTCATGTTTTAATATGGTTGGAATTTCATCATAAATTTATAACTTACTTCCTGATAAGCTATCAAGTTCAAATTTTTACATGCACTATTCATCAATGATGATGCATTGTGGTGAAGGGATTTTTTCGAAAATTGATTATTTCTTTTAATTTGATGTTTGAACAGCTTTTCGTGCATAACTTCATTTAACGCACAAACTAAACATATCAGAACTTTACTGTTTGCACTATAAAAAAAGTGGAAAAAAAAGTCTTTTCAATGAAAATAGTAATTTAATTTCTGAACATTTGAAAATTTTGTTTTAAAATATTGAATTTTTAGACTCTCTGACATTTATGATTTAAAAAGTTTTAACATCTAAAAATGTATCAGATATAAAGTTTTGAAATTCTCACAGATTATAAATTTAACTTTCCAGCCTCTTTTGAAACAAGAAAAAAGTGTTAATTGAGCTGTTTTTGACATTTTTATTTAAATGTGTAATCCCCCTTCCCTTGTGAATTAATTGAGCTGTTCCATGTTTGTTTCACTCTTAAGTTTCAAGTAAAACACTTGTTGTGACACTGTTATTACATCCATTTTCTGAAACCGAATATTCAAAGCAATTTCTTCATATTCAATGTGATATCTTCATTCTCTGAATGATGTGGTTATTTTTCTTCATTTCATAATTCTCTAGTAGTTTTATAGCTTGTGTTTAAAAAAAAAATCATCATTGATAATGTTATTGAGGTTAAAAATATGATGTGTACGCCACAGGACTTCCTTGTACAGAATATTAAAATATACACATTATTTCCTGCATTTTATTGAAAGTTATTTCCTCGAATTTCTTACAGATGCATTTCTCATTCGATTAATTCAGTTCTCACTTCACAGCAAGTCAAAAACACATAAAAACTCAAAATATCTTTATTTAAAAAATTGAGAGATATAGAAAAACATTAAACACCAAATACAGTTAAAACAATTTTTACACTTAAAATTAAAGTTTCTTCGCAAAACAAGCAATTCGACCAGCTGGCAAGAAAGCAGATTTTTCGGTGACCAAAGCTAAAAGTTCCGTTTTAGTCCCACTAAACAAGAAACTGAAGGGGCAGAAAGACTTAATTCACTATTCTGCTTAAATGTAAACAAATGTGGCTGCTATGATAAAAAAAGTTTTAGTCATACTTAAACAACATTTAAATTGTTGATAATTCTACAACTATTGCAAGCAGATCAACCAAAGGCATAAAAACCTAGCCAGAAGCTTAGACCACAATTTACCAAAATATAAGAATTTAAAAAAAAAAAAAAAAAAAAACTGAGTTCACTAAGCCAAGTAACAGAGTGGGTATATGTGGGTTCTTGTCTTGGGCAACCACAATTCATCTTCAAATAAAACACATTTAATGAAACATTAATACATATACAATATTGTTCATGTATTAATACATGTAAAACTTCTTAATATGACATTGTTCATCTGTTAACACATATATAAAATCATTCATCTCACTTTTTATAAAACAAAGTGATGAGAGTTTCGTCAGTTTTACTCGTGCAGTAAACAGCTAAAACATTAGATAACACTCGAGGAAAATGTTAGACTATTTAGACTTAACATGGAGCTAGAATCCTACATATATATATTTATCTACTTTTGGTGTGCCCAATTGCAAAAGGAAGGTGCATTATAGTAGTCCTATATACAAAATGTTAGTATTCTGAGGCTTCTCATTTTTGAGTTATGTGAGATACATACATATGTACGTACCTACATACAGACAGATGCCATGAAAAAAATCTATTTTAAATCAGTTTTAGAATTCCTTTGGCGAAAAAGTCCTTTATCCTGCCCTTATATAAAAAACATCATTAAATCTCATTCGATAGCAGTAAAAATGGCTATTTTGGGAGAAATATGATACCCGGAATTTTTCATAATTACAATACTTCTTTTATTTCGTACAAGGCAGTAAAAAACAAAAAATAAAATATAATTTAAAAAAAGGTTTTTGTACAATAAGTTCTTATTTAAAATGGATGTTATAATAAATATTAATGCTCTAAAATGAGAAAAATTATTTATCTTCTAATTTAATGGGAATAATAAATTAAATAATTCTATTTACAGAATTCATCTACAATTTTTATATCACAAATAAAAAGGGGTGATGTGCTTAAATAATGAAATATGTTAATTTATATGCATTGTCAAATGTGTAAGCCATTATCTTTTTTATTCTTTTAACTGTCATGCCCGAAATAATCTCGGGCACAGCACTGGTATTCCAAAATGTCACGCCCGAATATTACTCGGGCTAATTTTTTTTTTTGAGTGTGTCGTATTGTAATACCTGAATATATATTGTGAGAAGTTTATTTCGGCTTCATTTCAACAGATGGCAGCATTTGATTGAAGGTTTCAAAGGATAGAGGTTAAAGTTCAAAGTGGGCGGCATTTTTTTTTGATATTTTTTGACTTTGAGGCAAACATTTCGTTTTTGGAATAAAAAAAAATTGACAATTTATGCACTCAAATCATCAAAATAACTTGACAGTTAAAAGATTAATTTATCATGGGCATTTTTAATTTATCATAGTAATTAAATTATGTGCATGATTTTTGCTCTCAATTTTCAGACAATAAAATTAGTTTATAAATGTGGCAAAATATGTGACAAACTATGGTATCTAGTCTTATACTCTTGTGGTTTGTTCCAAAATGCCTTGATTTAAAAGAAATTAATGTGCCAAGTATTTCCACTACAGTAATTCTTTAATTAATATTGCTAAAATTCTTCTGTTTGCAGCTAGCAAAATTTGGCCTGTGTACAGGACATGAACCAGATTCATATGAATTTAGTTCCCTTGGTGGCTGGGTTGCAACTAGAGCTTCAGGTATGAAAAAGAATATATATGGTAACATAGAGGACATGCTGGTACATGTGAGAATGGTTACTCCCAGTGGAGAAGTGCAGAAAAATTGCCAAGTAAGTTTTTTGTGTAATACAAGAAACAGACTTTCTTCTGCTTTAATAAATTCAAATTTGTTCTTAGATGCATCTACATGTCTGTCCAAAAAGTTCCAAGACTGAATTAATGAAAACAAACAAACAAACAAAAATTAAGGTTTTAATGCTTTTACATTGTCTGTTCCTTGCACACTCACCCACCCACACAAGTACAACCCACAGAACTTCATACATCCATATGAAACTGTGAGGGAATTCCTTGTTTAGAATGTTATTCAGCTTTCATGTCATTGTGTCTTGAATGTTGGATATGTCATAACAACACTGACCTCTGTTTGAAGTTCACTTTTTAGGAATAAAAAAGTCAGCATTAAATTGTGTGAATATGGAGAGTGGCACACATTTTTCCCATTGGAAATCACACCTTAACTCCAGCCATATGAGCAGCCACATTGTTGTGCAGCAACAAGAAATCCCTCTCTTTCAATCATTTCACTTTGAATCCTCTCGCACAACCAATTCATAAAGAATTGCATTCAGAATTTTATTCCGTTTTTCATTATACTCCAGGAAGAAAATCAGTCTTGGAGCTATAAAATGCACATTATAAAATTTACATTTATGGATATAATGACTGATGCTTGTTTTGCAGTGTGCATTTTGCCTTTGCTTTCTTTTTTGCTATTTGAAAAGATTTTTTTAGTAATTGTATTAAGAAAACTGTTACTTTTAAGAGGTCAATAAAGTATGGAAGGTAAAAGGTTTTCATTTTGTCTGATTAAATCTAATTAATTCTTTGAATTAGCTTTTGAACAGTCTTCCTATGCATTAGATGATTTATTTTCTTCACAATGCACAGTAAGTCCAGAACACAGACGAGATGTAAAAACTTAATCAAAAGCTTATTAACATTTAGTTCCATAAGAACAGTTAAAACTTAACATAATTTTGTCCACTCCTCCTTGTGTGTTATTTGGAGTACAGATGTTTATGCAACATAACAGAAGGGTTTAATGCTTACACAGCCAAGTGTTGATTACTCGTGAATTCTAAGCATTAATGATAACAAATACTAAAAAACTCTCACCAGACCAGCTTGGCCAACAGGTGGGTTGCTAATGAGAGAAACTGCTTTCCTGGTATGTTGCCAAAACTCTGAATGTAAAGGATGCATATGTTCACTATTTAATCTCTTCCCAACACCAAGAAAATGAAGTTCTCCCATGTGTCTGTGACTTTAGAGAGTTAAATGTCACTGTGTGCCCAAGTGTGTTTTGTACTTATGCCTAACATAGAAAAAGAATTCTTATAAAATGTGCTTTTTATCAAGACATTTGGTTTGTATCATATAATATTTAAATGTTATTTTGTATGATAAATACAAAAAAAAAAAAAAAAAAAAAAAAAAAACCTAAAATTGACAAATAAAATAAAAATTCAAAATAAGGTAATGTGCAAAATTAATAATAATGATTACATATTTAAATTACTTTTATACAATAATGAAGCTAACAACTTAGAATTTAAATATTCATATCCATTATATCCTATTTTCTTATTCATGTATAAAATTTTAAGCCACTTGCACTGTGCTGTGTGAAACATGTCTGAACTCTGAATGAGCAATATAAGCTAGATATGTTTTATATTTGTAGAATAAAATAATAGATAATACTCATAGTAACTAGGTTAACATTGAAGACATTCCATTCTATTAAATTTCATAGCATTCTGATATCACTTATGTGCATTTAAAATGTCAAACTGCTTCAGCATATCAAATGCAATAAGGTGGGCCTCCAGTGACTTCTTACTTCCATATCATATTTGATATGGTAAGTTTACAAAAGGAACGTAAAGTGTGTCATATATGATATGCTTAGAGCAACGGGGTTAAGCTTGTGATTTGCTAAGACTGATAGATGAAACAAAAGTACTAAGAAAGAGTTAACAAAAATAATGTCTTATTTATAATAAACTATATAATCTTATGTGATATTAGATAAAGTTATTAAGTTTTGATTTACAAAATTCAGTGTTTTTAATAAGTTCTCAGGACTATATAAACAAAATGCACATAGTAATAATTATATTTGCAGTCATAGCTTTTCCAGTGTTCATTTTGTTTTCATTAATTTTTCTCATTAGGATTTTAATATTTAAAAACATTTTTACAGTGAATTGTGTTCAAAATTCTTGACTTTTAAGATGTGCATTGAATATGGAAGATGAAAAGGAATTATATTATGTGTTCCTAGCTAATTATGTGTAATTTCTAAAATTTTATTTGTATACTTCAGGTATTACTATTAAAAAGCTTATTAATTAAGTACTCGCTTAATAATGTATTGTTACATTTAAAGCATTTGAGTTAGTTTTTGTTATCCATAACAATATTATGATTTTTTTATATATGAAAATAATTTTAGTGGAATTATATGTGAATTGTATTATTTCCAGTAGTATATGTAACATGAAAAACCTCAGAATTGCGAAGTATTGCTAGAAAAATAACGTTTGGCAACTAATTTTTTTTGCCAAGTTTAACGACTATTTAAGGACATTATGATCCAATCCCAGTATAAATGTAACTGGTGCAAGCCCTATGTAACTGTAACTGTGTATGCCTTCCAGCAATTTCAAATAATTGAAGGTACTGAAAATTTTTCAGAAGACTGGAGAGAACGATGTAAGACCAGAGAGATTATCAATTTTCAGTTACGTAGATTCACAGCTGATTTCAGAGTTTAGTTCAGAGTATTGAGAGTATCCACAGGTCATTGTGTGGGCTTGCATATTCAAGGCTTTTTATATTGTCTTGTACTTTATATTCTTAGTAGAAGTGATACTTATTGATTGTGCTCTATCATGCTGAGAAGTGATGTACAAGTACTTTTAAGAAAGGTTCTGGAGCTTTTCTTTGGGGAAGAATTTTTTTGTCAAGCTGTTATTGGCTCTGTACGCATGCAATCCATTATAATAAACCCATATGCACATAATAATTTTTGGTGTCAAAAGTGGAATTGAATGCTGGTGATAGGAGTGATGGATGAGCAATTAAGACAGCTATGTTAAAGACGAGATAGAAGCAGGCAAAGAAAAGATGGAAGTGACCTTCAAATCAGTTCTAGAAGATATAAAAGTGGGCCAAGAAAACACTGAAAGGGCTGTCAAATAGGTTCAAGAAAAGACAAAAAGGACTATCAAGTTAATTCAAGAAAAGATTGAAGCAAATGAAGAGGAAATGAAAAGAGGAATTACTGTCACAATAAATAACAAATTCGAATTTATGGCAGAGCTGCCGAACAACAACGAAGGCAGAGCTGTCAAACAACTAATCAAAGAAAACGTTTCGGCTTCCAAACAACAAATCAATGACAGAATTTCTACTTTCACCAAGGGAGCTAACAGCTTCAAGAAATCCATAATGGCAGCAGGAAGCAATTCTGATGGCTCTAAATTCCTGCCTGTCTTAAATTCCTTCTTGCCCTTTCTAAGACTATCTACATGCGATGGAAAAACCTCCTTAGTGTACAAGACTCTGTTCTCTATAGTGGCAAGTGCAAATGGATAGGATTCCAAAATTAAGGCCTGCCGCTTCACCATTTCACTGACAGCATACACAGTCGACATCCTTCAAACTGCCAGAAAACTAGAGGCCAAACTTTGGAGTTCTATCCAGCATATTGGACCCATCTTTGGTGAGAAGTGTTTAAAAGACTGTAGCAGACTTCAGTTAAAATCTCAGTAACAGAAGCCCACAGAAACACTCCAGGATCTTGTCACAGATGTCGAAAGGCTGTCTCATCTTGCATTTTTAGAGCGCCTGACATATACAAGGGAAATTCTGTCCCTGTAGTACTTCGTCGATGGCTTCCAAAATATAGAAAGCCTTAAGAATGTCAGATGTCAAGCATTTGAAAAGCACTCTAGTGTACGTCATGAAATTCAAAGCAGCCCAGCAAGAAACTCGTAAAGACCATGCTGATCAAATGCAGGAGCCAATAGATCAAGTGACTGCATATCTAGACGATTTAACCACGGAGTTCAGTGCCTTAAAGTGGAATATCATTGGCAACAAACTGATCAACCATAAACTTCTGGAATAGTGCTTAAAGAAAGGTACGAAGGAACTGCAGAACACCCCAAGCTACAGAAGCCAAGACCTTTCCAACAAATAGGAGGGAAATTTATTAGGAAATAGGAGGGAGTGTTAATCATAACATAAAGTAGTGTTAATCAATTTTTTATGCAATATGAAATTAGGTTGTTATTTTTTTAATTAATCCTGTATGATATGTGTAAACTAACAATTTTGGTTTTTTATTCAGGTGCCTAGAATATCTAGTGGTCCTGATATTCACCAATTTATTCTTGGATCTGAAGGTATGTAATCATTCCTAGGATGTATTTGAAAATTCTCTAGCACTTTTAAAATCTTTTTTTATCATAACCACAATTGTGTCAGTAAGTTTAATAATTGTAAAATTTATTATAATGTTTTCAAGATTCAGCATACATTTTATCACAAATCACAAAAGGTGTTTTATGAAAAAAAAAAAAAAAAAAAAAGTATAGCGGAATATCTTTTTTTAAAACTAAAGAAATTATTGGAGATTTATATGTTTTCAACTCTTTCTATTCATTTCTTTCAGCGTATATGATATTTATTATTATCTTTTGATAATGGACATTTATTGATATAATTATTTTTAGGTACTTATGTATTAACGCAACTTCCTTGGCACAGTTTGGCCTTTTTTTACTTCCTTGTATGAAGTAAAAAGGAAGTATTGTAACCGCGAAAAGTTTCAGGCAGCATATTTCAACAAAAATATCCATTTTGACCGCTATTGAATGCAATTTAACGATGTTTTTGCATCATATCTGTACGTAAGGACAGAATAAAATACTCTTTTCCTTCAAAAAAAAAATTATAAAACTGCTTTAAAATTATTTCTGAAGAGAATTTTTTGTGCTGTCTGTACGAACATATGTCCGTACGTACGTATCTCATATAACTCAAAAACGAGTAGCCTCAGATCGTTGAAATTTTGTATATAGGACTGCTATAACATGTAGATGTGCACCTCGTATTTTGGTTGCAATCGATTGCACCAAACGTATATAAATATATTTATGTATATATCCACTCTATTACCCGGCTCAGTGATCTCAGTTTCATTACTCTTATATGTTTGTAAATTGTACATTTTTTGCTTTAAAAATGATTGAATTATGTTGTTTTTATCTTTCGGTTAAGGATTTTATGCCTTTAGTAAATCTGTGTGCAATATTTTTAGAATTATCAGCAATTTTAAAGTTGTTTAATTGCTGTTAAGCCTGTTTTTAATGGCGGCCATTGATGTTTACATTTGAAACAGGAGACTAGTGTATTTGTTGCCAATCTAGAGAAACTTAGCTTCACAACGACAGAGATAACACATTCATTTATTATTGCCCAATTAAATCATGCTTAATTCTTTCTGGAATTTTTTTCGAGAAATAAGCGTTTGAGATTTACTTCGTAATTTTAATATAGATATTTTGAGTTTTTTTATGTATTTTCTGCCTTCCTCGCGAAGTGAGAACTGAATTAATTAAATGAGAAATACTCAATTGTCTATGAAAAACTGTTTCTTTTCTGTTTTGTTTTCTTAATTTCTTTTATACATAGTTCTAGCTTTATTATAGTATTTGAATAGACCATGTGGCAATCATTAGATAATTCTTTAAATGATATACATTTTGTGCATTCTGAGTTATAATATGAATGAAATATAATACTGTTAAGTAAACTTAGTGCCAGAGTGTCGCTATGGTAAACAAAGTGAATTTTAAAGAATGCATTTATTCTATTGTGGTTTATGCGCTGTCGGCAAAGTACGTTTAATTCAATCTAATAAGTTTAAATAAAATGCAAGAAAAAATGCGTATAATTTAATATTCCGTGTAAGGAAGTCATGTGGTGTACACATCAGATTTTTTTTTAATGGCGAGCATTCACTACTGTACAGTGTGATGGGTCTAGTAGCAGTTATATCCAGATTAATTTTTCTCTTGAAGTTTAATAATTTAGACATTACTAAATTCTTTAAACCATAATAACGTCTATTAGCTCTAAACAAGCTATTGTCAATTTCAAGTTTAATATAGTTATCATAAGAGAATGATAGTACTGAGATACATAAACCGAGCAATGCTCTCAAAGTATAAGAATTTATTTGCAGTTGGAAGAAATTAGTAAATGCTGTTACTGTGTTTAGAACAATTTAATATGAAAATAAGCACAATAATTAGCACACATAGCATAATAGCTTCAAATAACTCAAGGAAAATATGGAAGAAATGCTTCCTTGGCACACAAAATAAATCATAAAGTTTCTCAAACCACATTCAGGATAAACTCTAGCTTCTAATTCAGCTAATGGTAAATCTTGCAGCTGATTCACAAATGAACTCCCTTCTGACTTAGCTTACTCATTCATATTTATACCCTGTAGCTTGGGCTGTAGAAACTTTTGGAAGAATCAGTTGTAGGACTTTGAAAATGGGTTTACATAATTCCTCCAGAAAATTGCTAAATGTTGCCAATACTTGTCAGGAACGAACTGCCTACATCTTGCATTCTAATTTTGCTATTTTTACAATTAAAATGCCATTTCACTTACAATCAAAAGATCCCCAATTCCATGCAAGAAATAAACTCTTAAATACAGTCACAAATTAAACATAAAATAAACACAAAAATTATCAGCCTAAAAATAATAAATAGTGTTTCCAGGTGCCCATGCTCGGGTGGAAGTCTACATATTCAAAATTTGACGGCTCTAGGTATCATTGTTTCTTCACAATATGAGAAGCATACATACATCCATGCAGATTCTTCATTATTTTATTTCATTTAATCTAATACAGGGTGATAGAATTTGGTGGCAACAATTGGAAAAGTGGTGCAACTGTTTGTAGTAATTTGATGTAAAATGCGTTTCGAGACTATAGCCCTTCTGAGCTAATACCCCTTTGGGTTAAACAATGCAAAACACCACTGTAATACAGAAAAGCAAGAATACAATCAGAAAAATTCAAATATTTACATTATTCATTAAAGCACAAATCAATAACCTTTTGGTCATCTAGGGTGCAAAATAAAATTTTTAATTCTTGGCGAGTGCCACCTATTCAGGTTTCATAACCAAACGTAATATTACAAACTAGTTTTGCTTAAAAGATATAACTTTATTGAACTAAATAACAAATATTTATAATATATATTCTTTAATTTTTTTTTTAAATCCTTTGATATGTCAGTGTGAAATTTGTGTTTATAATTCGTCTGCTAACTTATTATAGTCTACAAGATAATTTGAGTTGCATGCTCTTAAACAATTATCTAAGAGCAAATAAGTAAGTTTTGAGTGATACCTTGACTTCAGATAAGTCATATTCGAAAATGATGATTCATAGTTATAGGTACTTGAAAAATTAGAATTGATGTTTACCATTAATCTTTCACATGACTTTAAAATAGGATATTGATTTCTCTTTACCAAGCTCCAAAATATCATATAAGTTTCATAAGATTTTAAAATAACATCATTTTGCAAGCTTACTATTTCTAAGTTAAGAGGAAAGTAGTTAAAAATTACTGTAGCCATATTTTCTCCATCAGTAATACACTGACTACCAATAAGTATTTGGACACCTGTGATAGAAAAGAAAAACTAACTTTATTCAAACTCAATAGTTGGTAGAGCCTCCACGAGAGGTAATTACAGCGTGCACGCTCCGGGGCATACTTTCCACAAGTCTTTGTATGACAGCTAGTGGTATTTTCTTCCACTCGGCTTGGAGAAGACATAGAAGTTCCTTCACCGATTTTGCATGGGTAGTGCACCCCTGAATTCGGCGATGCAACTCATCTCAGAGGTTCTCAATAGGGTTCAGGTCTAGACTCTGGGCAGGCCAGTCCATTCGATGAACTCCATTGGCACCATACCAAGCCTTGGTTAACGTCGAAACATGACAACTGGCATTGTTGTCCTGAAAGTAACAGGGGTCCAACCCGTAAAATTGCCACAACGTAGGAAGCACATTGTCATCCAAAATAGTGCAGTATTTTGGATGTTGAGCTTACCATGAATGGGGACCAAGGGTCCAGCCTGTACCAGGAGAAACACCCCAGACCATAATTCCACCTTCGCCGAACTTGACTGTTGGCACAATGCATTCTGGCAGGAGACATTCTCCAGGTAGACGCCAGACCCAGACCCTGCCATCCGAACGGTAAAGGGTGAACCTTGATTCGTCACTCCAAAGAACCCGTTTCCACTGATCTACGGTCCAATTTCGATGTGCTTTGCACCACATTAACCGAGCAGCGTGGTTGGACTTTGTGAACAAAGGCTTATGGGCAGCAGCACGATCATGAAAACCAAGCAGATGTGCTTCCTTACGGATGGTATTCATTGAAACAATACTCCCAGATGCATGTTGAAACTCCTCGCGGATGAGGGCCATCGGTTGGGTGCGATTCTTCCGAATTTCTCTGGACAGCACTCGTCGGTCTCTTATCTCCCAGTTTCGTTGGTCTGCCGACTCGGGGCACATTCCGACAATCACTGCTCACCTTCCACTTCTTAATCACGTAGGCCACTGTCGATTTTGGGTACTTCAGATCGCTAGATATGTCGCTTAAGGATCGGCCACGTTTGTGATACCCAATAATTATACCTTTCTCGAAATCAGAGAGCTCCGAGCTGCGAGGCATCTTGCATGCGACTAAAGCCGATGCTGTCTTCTACACGATATATACCGGCGGAGTCCGTGATGTACCTTAGGACCGCAGATATCGTCATTTGCATAGGTGTCCAAATACTTATTGGTAGTCAGTGTATTAAAGGTATTTTTAAAGAATTTTAAAATAAGCTCTAAGTGTGTGAAATCAACAAATCGAGAATCAAATTCAGTTTGTATTGCAAACACAATTTGAAGATATGAGTCTATTAATATTATGCTCTTTCAGACTTTCTGCCTTTTATATATATCTATATATAAAATGAGGAAACGTGTCAGTGATTAGAGAGATGAAACCTATACATTTCTAGCATTGACTTGAAGCTGTTGATCGAAAGTGCTGATCATATCAGCCACAAATTATTCCTGCTGTTTAATTTCAAATTTAGCTCATTAAGTTTTAGTGTTGAATCGGTCAAATTTGTTAACCAATTTTCTGTCTTCCAGCTGTCTTGGAATTTTAGAAACTCTTTTATTTGTAGTAATAAATTAATAAATCGCCCACGAATTTTTCCGTTGGTTTTCAGTGTGCAAAAGAAGATTGGTAAATTATGTATCTTTATCATTTTCCTGAAGCAGTTTAAATATTC